TCCATCCTCCTGCCTCAGCCTCCCAGAGTGCTGGGATTGCAGGTGTGCCCCACCACACCCCACTGCTGAAGCTAAATATACTTTATCCAGATGGGGATGCCTTCCTGCCTGCACACTTCCTGTCCATTCTAAAGGCATCCATGTCAGCTTCCTTTTCTCTAACACTTCTGAGAGGGAGCCCATGTGGCATGCAGCCGACTCAGTTACAGTGTGCAGCTGCGTGGTTTTTAAATATGCCCAGATCCATGCAGTCATCACCAGAAAGAAGCCCCTGGCCCTGGAGCTCTGCCCCTGTGGGGGTCCCCATCCTGCCCATCAGTTTCGCCAGCCGCTAGTCTAGCATCTTTCTGTAGATCTCCCGCTCTGAACGTTCAGGAGTGGGCTCATCTCGGCCTCTGAGACTGGCCTGTCTCCAGCTTCTGTGTCGGTGCCGTTCCTCCACGGCCTCTAATACTCCACTGTGGGAGCAAGCAGTTGCTGCTCGGTGTCCTCATGCATGGGCTCAGCCCACTGTGGACTGCGACTTCGTGAAAAATTGCATCCCCACTGAACATGGATGGGCTTTTTTCTTGTGTTCAGTACAATAACTGTTGGCACAGCATATCCCACTGGAAATGGTGAATACAGGAAGAAATGCATAGGTTGTGTGTAAGTACGACACTTTTTTACCACCCACTCCCACGCCCTCACACTCCTGGTACTTGGAATGAACCAGGTCTTTGTGTAGGTGGGGCAGGCACTGTACCATTCAACCCCTGGACTGTACCCCCAGTCATACTGAGCCTGTGTGCATGCATGTGACTGAGGATTGAACCCAAGACCTTCACATTGAACTACATCCCCAGCCTTGCCCCAACCTACCTCTTTCTGAGGCAAGATCTCCCTATTGCTGAGTTGCCCAGGCTGACCTTGAATTCGTGATTCTCCTGCCTCACCCTCCCAGAGTCTACCACCATGCCAGGCCCCTACTAAGTCATTTTATGGAAGGGTCTTGAGTACTCAAGACTTTTGGTGTCCCTCAGGAGTCCTGGAGCCAGTTTCGTCGTTGGGGAAATGGCATTTCAGGCTGTCTGCACCCAGCCCCTGCTTCTCTCTGTCCTTCTCCCCCTCTTCCCTGCAGAACCTTCAGAACCCATTCTGGATCTTTTTTCCCTTGTAAGAAACAATTACTTTGAAATATCCTCGAAGATACTGCATGCAGGATAATCATATTGAAGCGGTTCACTTGGTGGGTGTGATCATTTCCTCCTTTTAGGGCAGTCCGTGTTTTCTCCCTTTTTTTGAGGCCCCCCCCCCCACCGCAGGAAGTTCTGAGCTTGTGTTCCCTGCCTCTCTGCATGCCTGAGTGGAAACACGTCCTCACACACACACGTCCAGAGACAGCAGGATGTGTGCAAGGGCCATCATTTCTCTATCAAGTGAGATTATGACATGTCCTTTTCTCAGGACGACCACGTAAAAGGACCTCAAGTCCTTGCGTGTCCTCTTTTGTCCTTCCTGTCTGTGGTTGCTCATACTTATTTCACGATGTGGGGCCGGGGATTTAACTCAGTGGTTTCGCCGCCTGCTGTGCAAGCGCAAGGAACCGAGTTTGATCCCGGTACCCAAAAAGAAAAAAAATATCGCTACTTATTTCACGATGTGCATGGCATCCGAGTAAGCACTGCAGCCCTCTGGTGGGTGATGGTCTCACGTCCAGAGTTCCTGCTGATGACAGAGGGTCCCTGTCCATCCCCAGGGACTCCTCCCTCCTCTGGGACAGTGGCCATCAGCTTCAGCCTGGGTCCCTCCACCTTTGGTTCACGCTTCTTCCTGCACAGGGCGCCCGCCCCCAGCAGCAGTGTAACAACCTGGGATCAGATTTACTGAATTTTCCCTCTTTCAGATCCTTTGTGTTAATCTTTTTTTTTCTTTTTTTTTTTTGAGACAAGGTCTCGCTAATGTAGTTCACAGGTTGGCCTCAAACTTGTGGCGAAACTCCTGCCTCAGCCTCCTGAGTGCTAGGATTACAGGTGTGCATCACTATGCCAGCTGCAGTTAATCACTGTATAACAAATGAAAATGCGGGACCTGCTAGATTCCAGTCTGAGTTCCAGGCACTTGGTAACATACAGCGTGCTCGTTAGAGCTCATTTTGGGTTGCAATTCGTGCACTGCCCGCATCAGTCTTGGTGTTTTTCTCTCCTGTCTTCCTTCCCAAGGAACTTTCTCTTTCTTATGGTGTAACACCAGGCTCTCGCCTGTATCGGTGGTGCTGTCAGGCGTACCTGGCACCCTCCTGAATCTCAGAGCCCTAGGAAACCAGATCCGCCGCCCAGCTCCCTGTGTCTCCCTGGAGCACGAATCACAAAGCCTTGCACACAGTAGGTGTGTAGTAGCTGCTCACTAAGTAGATGGAGCTGGGACTCCTGGGACTATAATTATACAGCATTAGGAACTGTTCCTTCCCAGTTCTAACCTATTTGTCACCATCAAAACCTGACTGTTAGCACCCCGCAGGCAGCCTTTGTGGGCTGGAACTCCACCTCAGGGGGGGAAAACGAGTTACCTACCAGTCGGGACTGGAGTGTAGGAGTGAAGTCCTGAAAGGCAAAATGCCTTTAGGTTGCTCCCCTGCCGCCTCCAGCTGTGACGTCTTTGAAAGTTAAATTCACCAGAAAAGGAAGTTGCCCCTCACTGGGCAGCCACCAATGGGAAGCCGGGCTCGGCCCCTCGTGACCTCGGGGTGGGTTGCCCAGGGCGACCATGGGGTTGCAGAGCTCCCTCCCAGGGGTGGACTGCGGGAAGGGACAGAGGGACAAAGGCGGGGAGTCCAGCACTGGTGACCATTCCAGGGGTGCCCTCCTGCTCCCGCCTGCCCCAGCCGAAGCAAACCCTGCAACCACACCGCACTAATTAGCCTGGAGTGCCAGGCGTTGCCATGGCGACCGGGCACTTTTTAAAGCTCAGGAATGGCGTCCATTATTCTTCCAGGACTTAGCGGTGGGGAGAAGGTCAGGGTGGCCGTTGTTTTCCCTATGAATTCTGGGCCAAGAGCCTCAGGGAGTGTCCCTCGGACAGCCGGGCCGGTGGTGAGTGCCACAGGCTCAGTCCTGCCTTTCAGACAGTTTTAGTAACTGGCGCCAGGCCACCGAACTGCATGGACTTCAGCAAAGAGAGACCGCATTTGGCGGGGAAGAGCGGATCAAGGGCAGAGAGAGCTGGAGACAGAGGTATTTTGAATTAATGTCTCTGAGTTTCAGGGTTGTTAAATTGAGACAGTTTCTCTGGTTATTATGCATTTAACAGACTGGAGGCTTCAGGATTTTCACTGTACTCTGCTTGTAGATTGCTGTGGGCCGATGAGAGTCCCAAGTAGACACTCGGCAGCATTGTCCCAGATCCCTGTGGGACAGTTACTTACCCTCCACTCTTGCTCTTTACAACAGAAGCTGCATGAAGATTCACCAAGGGGTATTTTCACTTCGTATTTTTAGTGCATTTCTCGTTTTGCAAAGGAGAGTTCAAGTAATCAAGACTCAAATCAGGAGCCGTGGGTTTTGGCTGTTTGCCTTCATCCGCTGGCTGCGCTTGGTTAGGATACTGCGGAGTAAAGATGACCTGACCACAGTGTTAAGAGGTTTTGGGAGAAGTCAGCCCGCGCCTTCTGCTGCTTCATGGCTGTTATGAGATTTGCAGAGCGTTCCTTCACATTACTTTTTGCTAGTTTTGAAAGTATAGAATAATATGGCTTCAAGCCTGATCTTGAGTTCATGACTGCGTGCATTTTTAAAAGGCTGCAGATGAAACCCTTGGCATTTACGCGCTGTTGTTCACTCCTCTAGTTCAGTTGTGTAGAATAAAAATATGCAAGTTAATTAAAGGCAGTAAGTGCTGGGGTTAAAAAGTGAGTCACGATCCTGACAGCTGTAAATGTGAAGTGACGCACTTTTTTTTCCTTTACCCTAAAAAAGTATTGTTCAGGCAGCAGGACCAGTTTGGTGACAGCAGCTAAGAGGATGAGTGTGGAAATTAAGGCTTGGTTCGATTTCTGTCCTCAGTTTCTGTGTTCTTGGCTTTACTTCATGTGTATGGAACGCTCCGTGTGAGTGGGGCATTTAACTGGAACTTAGGCAAATCTAAATTGCCTTTGTCTCTTTTTCTCTGCTGGCCAGTGTTTTTTTCTCCACCTGTTCCAGGGTGTGTGTGTGTGTGTGTGTGTGTGTGTGTGTGTACGCACACGCACTTGTTCCCATCACTGATTACTATATTATTTATAAAGCAAAATATGCCTTTTTTTTTTTTTTGGTTTTTTGAGACAAAGTCTCACGATGCAGCCCAGGCTGGCCTCAAACTCACAGCGATCCTCTTGCCTCCGCCTCCCGAGTGCTGGGATTAAAGGCTTGCTCCACCACACCCAGCTAAAAAGCAAAATAAAGTGGTATTTTTATGACGTGATTCTTTGAAAAAGATTTCTGAAATGTTGGTGAATTTATATTTATGAGACTGTAAGGTGTTTGAACGTGGATATTTATCTTAAGGAATTATTGGTTTCTTTCAAGATGTGATCATGGCATTATAGTGCTATTAAATACGATCCGTACTCAAGTACTTATTAACACGATGTTACCAAGACCGGGATTTCTCCCAAAAACATCAAGCTGGGACTGCCAGGCTCGGATTGGGTGGGGCCTGGGTTGTGGAAGTGGGTGATGCAGGTCCTCAGGGATTCATTTTCCAGCCTGTCATTTTGTGTATTTTGTTCAATTTTTTTATTTATTTATCTTTTTTGTAAAAAAAAAACCCAAAAAACTGGAAGTTGAACCCATTGCCTTCGTACTGAGAGACAGCCCCAGTTTTCCGGGTTCTGTTTTGTTTCTGCCCCGAGACGAGGTCTTGCTAGTCTGGAACTTGCGGGCCTCCTGCCTCAGTCTCCCTTGAGTGGGAATCTGGGGGCTCTGTCACCGCGCCTGCAGTCTTACCAAACTCTAACCTAACTCTGCCCCTGTCGCCCGGTGCAGATGCCCGACCACTTTGACCAGGCCGTGGTTCTGAACCAGCTGCGCTACTCAGGGATGCTGGAGACCGTGCGCATCCGCAAGGCGGGCTACGCCGTCCGCAGGCCCTTCCAGGACTTTTACAAAAGGCAAGCGCTGCGGGGCCCGTTGTCCTCCAGAGCCCAGGAGGGAACACGGGCCACACAGGGTGACCCTGTGCTCTCCTCTCACGCTGCAGGTATAATGTGTTGGCGAGGAACCTGGTGCTGCCTGAGGACGTGCGCGGGAGGTGTGCGGCACTGCTGCAAGGCTACGACGGGTCTGGCAGCGAGTGGCAGCTGGGGAAGACCAAGGTGAGGGGCAGGAAGCTGCCGCCAACTCGGGCACGCACACTGAGTGCCGTTAGCACAGCCTGGTCCCGGGTGACCCGGTGGTGCCTCAGGTACAACGGCAAGACAGGCAGAGCTGTCCTGGGTTGCCAGAAACTCAGTCCAGAACAGTGAAGAGTAGAGCCCAGTGCAGCGCTGCATGTCTGACATCCCAGCACTTTGGGAGGCTGAGGCAGGACGACCCTAAGCTTAAGTCCTCCAGGTCCTCCCTGGGCAATGTAATGAGAGCCTATCTCAGAATTTAAAAAGAAAAAAACTTTGACAGACTGGAGATGTAGCTCAGGGCAGCAACCCTGGGTTCAATCCCTAGTGCTGCCCTGAGAAGGGGGTCTCTGAACTGCTGCTGTGGCTGAGCCCTGAACCCCGTCTTCCAGATGGGCGTGGAGGGTACACCAGTTGTGCCCTCACACTGCAAATGAGCCATCAAATCAGTCGTGCTACCTCTGGGAACTGCCAGAAACCTCATGGGGATTCCCACTCTTATGCCTGGAAAAGTCCCGTCCTGAGGAGACCATGCAGGTGGCTGGGGCCGGCGGGTGGTCTCCAGTGTCTTCTGAAGGGCGGGTCCTGCACTCGAGCCTTCCGGGCCTCATGTGGCCATGCAGTGTCAGAACAGCGTCCAGAAGTTCCTGTGCAGACTGTGGAGTTTCTGGGTCGGGCTGTGTGGCTGCTCCAGGCCTCAGGCTCCTGCCCTGGTCTGCTGAGGTGGAGGCAGTGCAACCACCGCAGCGGTCGCCATCTCCCCTGCTGTACACTGTGGGCTCCCAGGGGCCACCAGAAGTGCTCCTGCCGGGCTCCTTTGGGGCTTGGCACAGGTGCATACCAGCCGGGGCTCTGTTTGCCTCCCCGGTGCCCTCCTGTTATCGTGGGGCCCTGGGCCTAGCTCTGCTGTGATGCTTCGTTTGCTTCCTACTGTATTGCTGTCCCTTTCTACGGCTGCTGGTGGAGCACGCAGAGCTGATTGTTCTTTTGCACGGCGTCCATGCAGGAGTTGGGCAAGGATAGGGCTCCTTAATCACTCAAGGAAGAACCTGGAGAAAGTGGTGCAGGGAGCTCTCAGCAGTGCAGTAGAATCAGCTCAGCTTTTATTTAAGTCAAAAAGAAATTGCAAGCTGGACATGCTGTAGCACGCCTGTGATCCCAGCCCTCTGGAGGCTGAGGCAGGAGGATTGCTGCAAGTTTGAGGCCACCCTGGACTATGCAGTGAATTTAGGGCCAGCCTAAACCACATAGCGAGAACCCTCTCCTGTCTCACGGCCTTCTACAAAGATCTTTACGACTCACCTCACCCATCACCCATTGCTTTGTGTCCAGTGCCAAGCAACTGCATCTTTAGTTTACATTCCGGAAGCCGGGGCAGAGGAGGCACCAGGACACAGGCACTGCCCTCAGCTGACTGTCGCTGAAGATAAGACACCTACGTCCCGCTGGCGGAATGGCCGCACACATGTGCTAATGAGAATTACTGAAAGGGCTTGGAGAAATCTCTCAGGGGTAAGGAGCTGGTTTCTCCAGAAGAGGTCCCTGTGGCTTGAACTGACCGGCGAGATTGCAGAAGCCGGGAGCTCAGAAAGTTAAACTTTAATGGGCGAGGAGTTGGAAGCCGACGCTGACTGGGAGCTTATCAGCCACCAGAACACTGGAAAGGAAAGGAACTGCAAACATGAGGCTGTGGAACTGTGTGCCCTCCACAGCTCTGACCTTGGCCAGCTGTCCGATTTAATTATTCACCAGTGTGCGTGTCAGCCAGGGTTGCCCCCCAGGCCTCGTGAAGACTGGGATCTCTGGTTCAGGAATTTCCGTCCCACATGCAGCAGCGGGAACTGGGACGCCGTGGTGATCAACACATAGGTGACACCAGGTCTGTGGCCGGAGGCGGGGCCGACACTGACCTCTTAGCAGGGTCCGGCCTGCAGGGCTTCTGTGAGGACCCAGGGCACAGCGCAACCTCGGAGCTGACCTCAGAGGAAACGAAGGCAGGGGTGGATTCTTAGGGATTTTTTTTTCCCCTTGTGGTACTGGGATTGAGCTCAAGGCCTTCACACTGAGCTACATCTGCAGCCCTTTTTGTTGTTATTACTTTTTATATGTGTGTGCTAAGGATCAATCCCAGGGCCTCACACAAATTAGCTCCTCCTCCTCCTTCTGCTTCCTTTTCTTCTTTTTTAAATGTGCTGAGAATTGAACCCAGGGAGCGCTGAGCTACATCCCCAGCCCTTTCTTTTTTGGAGGGTACCGGGGATCAGACTCAGGACCTTACATTTGCGAGGCAGGCGGCAGCACCACTGAGCTAAATCCCTGGCCCCCCAGCCCTTTCTTTTATTCTGAGATGAAGTCTCACTTGGGTGGTTACCCAGCTGGCTTTGAACTTGCAGTCCTCCCGCCTCAGCCTCCTGAGCAGTTGAGATTACTGTGCACCACCACACCCAGCCGACTGATTACCTTCCTAGTGTCACTACTCTGATGTGCATTTGAGTTTTTGAAGCCAAAATCCGATGCTTCTCGGGCATGCAAAGGAGGTATCCACGTGAGGACAAGGTGGCTGTCTCCATCTTTCCCTTGTCCTTTTCTCGTCTGTCTCCTCTCTTGCTCCTGCATCAGTTCTCTCAGACGCGCGCTATGGGACCCACGCTGCTCTAGGAACTGTCTCGGCCGGCAGTGACAACACCGAGAATTCCGGGGCCTTTATAGAGTGCAGCTGCACAGTCATTTCATGCCTGCTGAGTCTCACAATGAAAAACAACGAGACTTTCATTTTGCATGTGGTTTTGTTTTTTCTTTTTTGTAAGATATACTGACTGGATTTTACACCTGTTAGTCCTTGGCAGGTGGGACATTTAAAAAGCACTGTTCTAGAAAACATGGCCATGTGAGTCCACAGCAAACAAAAGGAGAGAGAAAAAAGCATTACCCCCAAACCAGGCATAGCAGTGCACACCTGTAATCCCAGCACTCAGGAGGCTGAGGCAGGAGGATCGATCCAAGTTCAAGGCCATCCTGGAATACATAGCGAGATCCTGTTGCAAAAAAAATCCTCCCCAAAACATTGTTACCCCTAAGAGCCCTCACTCTACCACGCCGTCCTTCTGCCAACCATGTTCTCTGCTCCGCGTGCACCTCCCCTGCAGGTCTTTCTCCGGGAATCCTTGGAGCAGAAGCTGGAGAAGCGGCGGGAGGAGGAGTTCACGCGGGCCGCCATGGTGATCCGGGCCCACGTCCTAGGCTACTTGGCACGGTGAGCACCAGGCAGAGGGTGGGGTTGTGACCTGTCGCTGGCCATCAGGGCTGTCCCAGGGAAGGCCTCAGAGGAAGCCACCCCGGCAGGGCCGGGGGAGCCATTGGAAGAGGTGCTGGTGGGCTCTGATGCCTCAGTCCCGCCCGCCGTGGCTCTGCCGAGAGGGGTCCCCGCGTGGTTTGGGGCTCTGTGTCCTGCTCTGAAGCCACATGATCTCCTGTTCCCTCTGGCATCACAGGCCGAGGAGCCCCTGTCCCACTGCTCGGCACCAGGAGGGTTTCGTAGTTCAGAGGTTGTGGGCTCCAGAATACTTGCATGGCGTCCTGGCTGACCGTTCCTTATCTGACAAGCTGAAATCTACACTGCTCTGTGGTCCTTTTATTATTATCATTACTATCATCTTTTATGGTGCTGGGGATGGAACCCAGGATGTCATGCATGCGAGGCATGCATTAAACCCCCGGGCCCAAGAATCTGAAACTATTTTAGCATTACATCAGCACTCAGAAAGTTTGAGAAATTTCAGATTTCTGATGAGGGATACTCAGTCTGTATCATTCTGTCTCTAGAAACAGGCTTTTGATGTGTATTCCCGGCTGCCCTCGAACTCACTATGTAACCCAAGCTGGCCTTGAGCTCATAGCAATCCTCCTGCCTCAGCCTCCTTTATGCTGGAATTACAGTCATGCACCACCACAGTGGGCTACATTTTCTGAAATCGAGAGCCACTCTGCTATGGTGGGGTTTTGTTTTATTTCGTAGGTTGGGTGTTTTCCTATGAACAGGAGAATATATCTGATTCCCTCTGGTCTTGTTTACCTGGCTTCCTGCCTGATTATTCCACGTTGGCATAGTGGTTATGTGTTTGTTTAGCCAAGATCGAGGTAGGGTTTGTAGCTTAGTTTGTGCCTCTTCTTCTGCTTTGCTTCAGCCCAGGGCCCCCTTACCCTCTCCGGCCTCTGCAGTGACAGGATGTCAGCGTCTCCTTCCACAGCCCATCTGCCCCTCCTCAGTGTGCAGTGTTCGAATAGCTCACCGCCTCACCTGCCGCCCGTGTTTTCCCCTGCAGAAAGCACTACAGAGAGGTCCTCCACGGGGTGGTGATGATCCAGAGGAACATCCGAGCCTTCCTGCTGCGGCGGCGGTTTCTGCGCCTCAGGCGGGCGGCCCTGGTGATGCAGAAGCAGCTCCGAGGGCAGCGGGCACGCAGGCTGTACCGGCAGCTGCTGGCGCAGAAGCGGGAGGCGGAGGAGAGGAGGCAGCGGGAGGAGGAGGAGAGGTACTGTCCTTCCTGCTCTGGTGCACAGATGGACGCCTCTGGGTTCTGCGCTCACATCTATTAAGAATTCCCGCTGGGTGAAGCAAACCCTGATTCTGGGCAGCTGGATGCTGAATTCCCTTGCGGCTCCAGTGACCCAGTTCTGCCACATTTGTTCACACGCAATCTTCAGTGCCCAGCCCTCATGCCTTTAACTGGCCTATTCCAGGTGCTTTTGAAAAGTGAGCTCTCCACTGGGTGTCACTCAGTGCAGTGACTTGCCCAGCATGCACAAGGTTGTGGGTAGATCTGGCCCAAAGGTGGTTCTAAGATGAAGGGTGATGTTCACCCTCTTTTTTTCTTTTCTGTTTTCAGAGAAAGAGAGAGAGTGCAGAAAGAAGCCGAGCTCCGGGCCCAGCAGGTAGGGACCGCAGTGATGACCTGGGCTGTCCTTTACCTGCTTCCTCTCTACCTCAAACCTCTTCGCTTGAGGATGCAAAACTGAAATAACTTAGTTGTCCAGGGAGAGCAGCTTGCAGGAAGAGACCTTGATGTGTGATTCGACATTTCCCCCGTGCAGCTGGGAGGAACGCAGTGAATGTTTAAAATTCCAGTGTGAATCCCAGCAGGGTCACTCCTTGGGCCTCAGTCTGCTGGGGCTGCTGAGATACAGTCCCAACTGGGTGGGTGACATGATGGAAGTTGATCTTCCCCAGTTCCAGGGATGGGGGTCTGCAGTTCAGTTTCTCCTAAGGCCCCCTCCCCGTGGTGTCTGGACGGTCACCTTCTCCCATGTACTACTGAGCCTCCTGCAGTGCACTCCTGGTGCGTGTGCCCTATCACTTCCCAGAAGAACAAACACTTTGTCTGTCCATCCATTTCGTACTGAGGAATGGACCCAGGGCCTTTGAACAGAGCTGTCTTCCTAGGCCTTTTTTCTGTTTTATTTCGAGACTAGGTCTCCTCAAGTCACTGAATTGCTCAGGTGGGATTCACGCTTGCAATCCTAACGGGCTGTAGCTCAGTGGTACAGCGCTTACCTAACATGCCCAATGTCTTGGATTCGAGCCCCAGTATTGCAAAAACCAAAACAACAAGAAAAAACACCTTCCCATCCTCCAGCCTCGGCCTCCCAGAGTGCTGGGAATACAGCCATGCATCACCGCCCTCAGCTAAGGGCCCGGTTTAGACCGAATGTGTGCCCAAACTGAGCCTCCTTTTAACTTCCTTGCCTCTTTAAAAGCCTCGCCTCCAAGCCCAGTCACACCCTGAGGTCCCTGGGGCCGGGGTGACACAGTGACCACCGCCTCCTGGCCAGTACCGGCTGGATCTTAACACTTGCCTCTGCTTCTGCGCAGGAGGAGGAGGCCAGGAGGCAGCGCGAGCTGGAGGCCTCGCAGCAGAGCCTGAAGGACGCGGAGCTGAGCCGCGAGCTGCAGAAGCAGAGAGAGAACAAGCAGGTGGAGGAGATCCTGCGGCTGGAGCGCGAGATCGAGGACCTGCAGCGCATGAAGGAGCGGCAGGAGCTGAGCCTGACCGAGGCCTCGCTGCAGAGGCTGCAGCGGCGGCGAGACGAGGAGCTGCGGCGCCTGGAGGACGAGGCCAGCCGGGCGGCGCAGGAATTCCTGGCCGCCCTCAACTTCCACGAGATCGACGCGTGCGTGCGGGGCCTCGAGCGCTCCCTGGCGGCCGGGGGCGGGAGCGCGGGGACCCCGGGCTTCAACTTCGGCCAGCCCTACCCCGAGGAGGACGAGGATGAGGGTTTCGAGGCCGACGACGACGCCTTCAAGGACTCGCCCAACCCCAGCGAGCATGGCCACTCGGACCAGCGCACGAGCGGCATCCGCACCAGCGACGACTCCTCCGAGGAGGACCCCTACGTGAACGAGGCTGTGGGGGCACCTGAGGGCACCGTGCCCCCCGACACGTGTGCGCAAGACGACCGGCACGAGGCCACCTATTGCGAGCCTGGTGAGGCCCCGGGCACCGAAAAGGACGACTATGACGATGGCGCGGTGACCTCCGGCAGCAGTGTCACCTTCTCCAACTCCTACGGCAGCCAGTGGTCCCCTGACTACCGCTGCTCCGTGGGCACCTGCAACAGCTCGGGCGCCTACGGCTTCAGCTCCGAGGGCGCCCAGTCCTCGGTGGGTGCCTGGGGTCCCCGTGGGTCAGTGGGGAGCCCTGAACCAAAGATGCATAGGCAGGACCTAAGCCAGGCGTGGTAGCACCTGAATCCAGCACCCCAGAGTCTTTGGCAGCAGAATGCCAGGAGTTCAAGGCCAGACTAGGATCCTTAGTGAGACCTTGTCTCAAAAGGCAGACAGGGCCCTAGAGAGAACCTTAAGGCCCTTTCTCTTTCCAGATGCCAGGATCTGCCTCCAAGCCCAGAACCAAGTTTGGCCCAAGGCCTGAGGAAACCGCATTTTCAGTCGACCGACCCTTAGCTTCACTGGGTGCTGGGAGCAGCTCGATCCCACCTGACAGTGGCTCCGCAGTCCAGGCCCCACCGAGATATTTCTTGATCTGCTTGTAAGGGAGGAAGCTTTAGGGTTAAACATGCTCTTCCCAGTATCTGCGTAGATTTATAGTTTACTTATACTTTTTCCCATTGATCATGAGTTCAATGCCATTTTAACTTTCTAAGGCTTGGAAATATTTTTAGCATAGTCATTTGAAGGAGATTTAACTCTTGCGTGGTTTGATTAAGATTACACCTTTTCACAAGCGGTGTTGTTTTCAGAAGACTGGGTGAAAGACTTTTAGGTATTAGTTAGACATAGTGTTTGGATCTGTTTTGTTTGGTTGGTTTTGTTTTTCCTTTGAGACGGGTCTCACTATGGAGCCCAGGCTGGCTTTGAACTCCTGGTGATCCTCCTGCCTCAGCCTCCCGAGTGCTAGGGTTACAGGCATGCACCACCACGCCTGCCTTAGCGCTTGGCATTTTGCTGTGCTTCGTTCCTGAGATCTCCGCCGCAGTGGTGTACGTGGGGTGTTGGTCCCGGTTCCTTTCTGGGATTTTTACGCTGGGTGCTTTCTTTGCTTGCCATCCAGTCCATCCTGTTGTTCACTGTTGCCCTCTTCTCCTCATCCAGTTTGAAGACAGTGAAGAAGACTTTGACTCCAGGTTTGACACGGATGACGAGCTGTCCTACCGGCGTGATTCTGTGTACAGCTGCGTCACGCTGCCGTACTTCCACAGCTTCCTGTACATGAAAGGTAAGGCCTGCGGCCAGAGAAGTGTGGGTTAAGTAGGGCCGTGGAAACTGAGATTTGCTTGTTTTGCTTCGTTTTTTGAGATAGGGTCTCTCAGTGTAGCCCAGGCTGGCCTCAAACTCATGGCGATCCTCCTGCCTCAGCCTCCCAAGAGCTGGGATTACAGGTGTTCACCACCATGTCCGCCTTCACTTATGTTTTTCTTTCTACTCGATTTCCTTTCTGTTTTCTCTGTCTGCTCTTCTAATACCTGAGTCTAATGACTAACATCAGTCATGAGCTCATCAAACCCCCACAGGCTTGGTTTGGGTGAGACAAGCTCACTAGTTGGGGTAGAGTTTATAGGAGCATTGGAGTAAAAAAGATCGGGCATCCTTATCCTAGACACAGCCTCACTGGAACACGTGACAGAGGAAAAGATGCCGTCACAGATTCAATAAGTGTTTGTTTGGTTTTTTGAGACAGGGTCTCACTGCAATTCAAGCTGGCCTTGAACTTACTATGTAGCCCAGGCTGGCCTCGAACTCATGGAAATCCTCCTGCCTCAGCCTCCTGAATGCTGGGATTACAGGCATGCACCACCATGTCAGGCTCAATAAGGTTTTTTTTCCTATTAAGTTTATTGGTACATTTTAGGTATACAATATAGTTAACCAGTTCATCATTGGGTAAATGATGTATCTTGGTTCTTATTTTTTCTCATTCCCCTGCCCTCCCTGGCTCAATAAGTTTGTTTGTTTTGTTTTTTTGTGATACTGGGGATCGAACTCAGGACCTTGCACTTGCAAGGCAGGCACAGTGCCACTGAGGAAAATCCCTGGCTCCCCGCTCAATAAGTTTTAACCATGGCATCTTCAGATTTTGTGTTTTTCACAGTAAATAGAAGCTTTTGATTAAAATATTCCTCTTCTCCCAATTAACTCTTAGTTTGCTAAGTTTGCTTTAAAATCCCTATTATCTGTAATATGTGCCACTGATTTATTACAGTTGTCTGATTAAGATTTTTAAAAGGATAAGACAAATGTAAAACTATATTCAAAGCATTAGAATTACTTTAAGAAGATGAGCATTTTGGGACATGTCTTAATAAAAGCAGAAATTTTGTAAGTGCAGCATCATTTAATCTTTCATAAAGTCTTTAATAACGTAGTGCCCAGGCTTCCAGAGAAACCGATAAAAGAAGGAAAATGCAGCCTCTAGCAAAGATACAGGGTGAATGGCGCTGCTCAGTCCCGGGGTGCTGTCCCCAGGTGGGCGGGCCATGCTGCTCTGCTTGCAGCACCTCCTTGGGATCTAAAATGCAGATTAAAATCGCCAGTTACAGCCATCATGGCAGCAGCTTGTCCTGCTTGAATCCCTTGGTGAGTTTCCTGCCTGTTAGGAAACTGCTCTGGGGGAGGCTGTCCTCATTGCATGGCCAGGCCAGGGGACTATCCCTCTGCACTGAATGCCAGCCAGGGCTGCCATCGCTGCATCTGTCCCAGTGGGAGGCTTAGGTCTATAATCACTGCCGAGGTCTTTGAGGAAAAGTCCTAGGCCAGCCTCATGGCACACACCTGACCTTTGAGCACCTGGGAGGCTGAGCCAGGAGGGTCCTGGGTGGTTGTGAGTTCAAAGCCAACTGAAAGTACACAGTGAGACCCTGGCTAAAAAAAAAAGCTATATTAAATTTATTTTCCAGTCTATGAAAGGAAAACACTGTGTATGCTTACTTTAAGTGCCCATGTTTAAATGTCATTTCATTTATTGCTGGTTGATGAAAAAAATCAGATCAAAGTGTGGGCAATTTAGAGTAGACTATGTTCTTCGGTGTGCTAATTAAAACATGTTTGAATGACAGGAGAAATACATCATTCAGGCATCTTTGGGGAATCCAGAAAACTAAAATAAAATTGTTCTACTAGAAGAGAACAGAATTTGTTTTTATCCTTTTAAAGATAACATCTGGCCGGGCATGGTGGCTCACACCTGTAGTCCCAGCAGTTAGGAGGCTGAGGCAGGAGGATCGCTGCAAGTTCTAGGCCAGCCTGGGCCACATAGTGAGTTCAAGACCTGCCTGAACTGCATCGCGAGACCCTGTCTCAAAAAAACCAAACAGAAAGGCCTAGTGTGACCTATGAGCTCAGTGCTCTGGGAGGCTGAGGCAGGAGGGTCACACCGTCACACCCAGCCTTGGCAACTTAGTGACTTCGAAATGGCTCCAGACTCTTTTGTGGGTCAGAGTTTCAGTTTGTTATTACTTGGCTTTCTGTAAACTCTTTACAGACGAGTCAGCTAAGCGCCAGGTGCTGTGTTCGGGTGTAGGAAGGGCCGTGGTCCCAGGTGACCCCAGGCTGCTGAAATGTCCAGTGTGTCCTGACAGCCCCCAGCCGCACCCTGCACTGAGGGTCTCGGGGTGCGTTTCAGCCCGCATGGGGGCAAGGGTTGTCTGGTGCTGGGGACTTGGTGTGGCTGTCCTTGTCATGCAGCTTGATTGACTTCACCCAGACAAGTGTGGTGCCGAGCGCCTGTCATGCCGGAATTCAGGAGGCTGAGGCAGGACGATGGGCACAAATTCCGGCCCAGCTCGAACTGCCTGATGAGGCCCGTGTCAAGAAAACAAGCACAGAGGGCCAGGTGTGACTGACTCCTCCACCTTTCCCTCCCTGTCTCGGGAACAGGTGGCCTCATGAACTCCTGGAAGCGCCGCTGGTGCGTGCTCAAGGGCGAGGCCTTCCTGTGGTTCCGCTCCAAGCAGGAGGCCCTGAAGCAGGGCTGGCTGCACAAGAAGGGCGGAGGCTCGTCCACGCTGTCCCGCAGGAACTGGAGGCGCCGCTGGTTCGTGCTGCGCCAGGCCAAGCTCATGTACTTCGAGAATGACAGCGAGGAGAAGCTCAAGGGCACCATTGAGGTCCGCTCAGCCAAGTACGTGGCGCCGGGTGTGGCCCGGGGGCCCTGGGTTCGGGCGCCCGTTCCCTGTCCAGTGAGAGTAGTGGTCTCGCAGATGGGTTAACCAGGCCGGGCATGGCGGCGCACCTCTGTCATCGCAGCACTCGGGAAGCAGAAGCGGGAGGGTCGTCATGAGTTTGAGCAGCCTGGGCTCCATAGTGAGCTCAAGGCCAGCCTGGGCTACTCAGCGAGACCCTGAAACAAAAGCCCTTCGGTCAAGTAACTCCCCAGAAATATATATAAGAAAGAAAAGTAGTGTACATTGGTTGAGGGCCCAGTAGGTGAACGAGCTAATGTGGACACAGGCTGACACTCAGAGGTTTGTTTTGACCTGAATTCTGTCTTTTCCCTACGTTGTCTGTACCAGGCCACCCAGTCCCTGCACGCGCAGGGGCAGAGCTGGTGTTTGAGTCCACATAGCCCCCTTGGACAGCCACCACTTTGGACTATCAAGGGCCTTTGATTTTTGTTAAAAATTCTGGTTTCGGAAACCGGTTGGCACTCAGGGCAGCTGGCTTTCTGGATAACTGGGCACTGCCTAGAAACGTGCTGCGGGTAACCTATAACCTTGCTCCGCTCAACTTGAGCAAGGGCTAAGTCTTTGGGAAGTGGTGGTGTCGGCCTGGGAGGTCACGGAGAAGTGGGGGGAGAAGTGAGGGGAGGGGTCCTGTGTGGTTGGGTTGTAAGGACAGACAGAGGACTGCCGACAGCAGTGCTGGGCTTCTCCAGCTGCCCCTTGGGCTCCAAAGCCCGGGGTCTCCACGGCCCACAGTGTCCTCTCTTAGGCCTCCCGGTGCTCAGGGTTGGGAGTGCACTGAATGTCCCCAGAGCACGGTCCAGTTGTCCCCGTAGCCACAGTTTCCATGCCCACAGATGGAGCCACCCGCTTGAAAACTGAGAGAAGAGAAAAGAAGGGCCTCTTTACTGCCCCTGTAAGCAGCCCCTGGCCCCTGTCACTACCCCTTCAAAAGTGCAGGGTGGCCGCTGTCTGCGGAGCTCGTGCTCGGTGCAGTGGGGGGGATGCCGAGGGTCCTACTTCGGGGCTTTCTCAGACACCCAGGGGTGCTGGTGTCCGAGTGGTCCTGGAGCTGCAGACAGCACAGGTGCCCTCGTGTCTCTGAGCCTGCCTGCCACGTGCTTCCTCACGCAGCTGGGTTCCCTGGGCACTTTGTCAACATTGCCACAAGTGACAGAAATGTCAGCTCTTCGACATTTCTGTCACACAGCAGGACAGTGAGGTAGGGCTTCCCGGAAAGATTGTCTTCATTTTGTATTTTGAGATGTTTAATTATAGAAAACCTCAGTGTGGGGGAGGATGTCCTGAAAGCCACGGACTCACTCCCCACTTTCCAGGGCTGTCCTCACGCTCCAGTGCCTGTGCGCACAGCCTCCCTTGGGGGCTCCCCGACCACGGGCATTCTCCTAGGTCAGCCTGGGAATGTCCTAGCATGCGGCTAAAGAATCTCTAGTACATAATCAGTCCCCTTAGTCGTTTAAAAATGGTGGTCTCCTCCCACCAGGAAACCTCAGTCACCCCGGATAGCCCGAGGTGCTGCTGCATGCATTGGGTAGTGCTCGGGGGCCTTGGGTCGGTTTTATAGTTTCCCAGGGTATCGATACGTTAGGGATTCCACGAGGGTGAGACTCACCCTCAGATCCACAGAGTGTTGGTTCCGGACCCCTGGGTGTGGAAATCCATGGGTATTCAATTCTCTTGCCTGAAATGGCATTGTGTTCGCACCTAAGCTTTGTGCATCTTCCCGTACACTTTATCTCTAGATGACTTAGAATAACTAATTGATGTAAATGGTAGGTAACAAGGATGCCCACTGTCACCACTCCTGTTCAATATAGTTCTGGAAACATTAGCCAGAGCAATTAGACAAGAGGAAGAAATAAAAGGAATAAAGGTAGGAAATGAAAAAATTAAATTGTCGTTACTTGTGGATGACATGATTCTCTACATAGAAGACCCCAAAAACTGCATCAGAAGACTTCTAGGTTTGATAACCAAATTCAGTGGCATAGCTGGATACAAAGTCAGCACTCAAAAATCAGTAGCATTCCTGTACAGGAACAACAGACTGTCTGAGAGAGGAACTGGAGAAACAGCTCCTTTCACAATAGCATCCAAAAAATGATACCTATGGGGCGGGCATTTAGCTTAGTGGTTCCGCTGCCTGCCTCACAAGCTCAAGGACCCAAGTTTGATCCCCGATACCAAAAAACAAAGAAAAAAAGAAATACCTAGGAATCAGTCTAATGGCGGAAGTAAAAGACCTCTACATTGAAAACTACAGTACCCTGAAAAAGGAGATCGAAGAGGATATCAGAAAATGGAAAGATATCCCTTGTTCTTGGATAGGAAGAACCAATATAGTGAAAATGGTCATATTTCCAGAATTGTTGTACAGATTCAGTGGAATCCTAATCAAAATCCCAACAGAATATCTCACAGAATTAGAAAAAACGATCCTATAATTCATTTGGAACCAGAAGAGACCTAGAATAGCAAAGGCATTTCTGGGCAACAAAGGCAAAGCAGGGGGCATCACAATCCCTGACTTGAAATTATACTGCAAAGCTACTGTGATTTAAATACAAAAAAAAAAGCACAAGGACCTGAGTTCGATCCCCGATCCCCGGTACCAAAAAAACAAAACAAAACCAGCATGGTACTGACAAACAGACTTGAGGATCAGTGGAACAGATTAGAAGATGCAGAAACAACTCCAGACATGCTCAGCCACCTCATCTGTGGCAAAGGAGCCAAACACCCTCACTGGAGGAGAGATAGCCTCTTTAATAAATGGTGCTGGAGAAACTGGCTTTCCACATGCCGAAGATTGAAACTAGATCCCCATCTTTTACAATGCACTAAACTAAAATCAAAATGGATCAAAGATCTAAATATTAAAACAGAAACACTAAATTGGCTGGAAAAGAGAATAGGTAGAACGCTTGAGGACATAGGAGTAGGCAAAGATTTCATGAACAAAACCCAGACTGCATGGGAAATACTACAAAGAATCAACAACTGGGACCTCATCTTACTAAAGTTTTTGCACAGCAAGAGAAACCAACAACAGAGTGAAGAGACAACTCATAGCATGAGAAAAAATTTTTACCAGCTATTCAGACAAAGGACTATAATCTAGAATATATAAAGAACTCAAAAAAAAATCAGGCCTCCCAAATTTAAAGACCCAATCCAAAAATGAGCATCTGAAATAAAAAGACAATTAGTTAATTAGATAATCAGATGATTAGAAATGGCAAATAAACATATGAAAAAATGTTCAGCAACACTGGTCATTCAAGAGATGCAAATTAAAAGCATGCTGAGATTCCACCTCATCCCAGAAAGAATGGCTGCTATCAAGAAATCAACCAATAACAAATGCTGGCGGGGCTGTGGGGAAAGAGGAACCCCTGCTCCACTGCTTCTGGGAGTGCAGACTGGTGCAACCACTGTGGAAATCAATGTGGAGATTTCTGAAAAAACTAAAACAAGAGGTTCCATTTGACCCTGCTGTACCTCTTCTTGGTATCTTCCTGAAGGAATTAAAAGCATCATACCACAGTGATATATGCACACCCATGTTCATAGCAGCAGCATAGTTTGTAATAGCTAAAGCTTGGAAACAGCCCAAATGCCCATCAGCTGACAACTGGATAATAAAGATGTGGGGTTTTTAATACAGTGGAGTACTACTGTGCCATAAAGAAGGATGTGCCTCAGACATTTACAGCTAAATGGATGGACCTTGAGACCATACTTCTAAGTGAAATAAATCAGACACACACGTGTAAACACCGCATTGTTCCTGTGGTGTGAGAAACCGAAAGTGGTAGTGAGGACTGAGATGTATAATGGATTCTGGGAAATGGGAAAAAAGTGTTCAAATGGGAAGGGGAACAGGAGGAGGGAGGGAGAAAGGAAGGGAGGGACAAGATGAACGTGAAAATAGAAGGGAAAAATGGGAACAAAGCTTTTGTACATGGGGGAGAAGGGTGCTGGAGGGGGGAATAGGATAAAATAAAATAATTAAAAATAATAGTGAATGGTAGGTAGACAGTCATACTTACTGTTTCAAGTATAATAACCCGAAAACCCTTCATATATTCAATACAGATGATAACTTTCTTTTCTGAGAATTTTCCATCTGCTGCGGATTGAATCAGCACGGAAGGGGACTATGGATAGAGAGCTGACTATGCTCCTTTATGAACTAGAATATTTCTTTGGTTTTGTTTGTTATTTGAGACAGGGTCTCACTGTGTACTTGAGGCTGGACTTGAGCTCACTTTGCAGTCCAGGCTGTCCTCAAACTCAGCAGATCCTCCTGCCTCAGGCTCCCACGTGCTGGGATGACAGGTGTGCGCTGCACACTGGGTGAAGCCAGACCGTTTCCGTGAAGAGCAGCTGTTGCTCACCAGATAGTGGCTCCCCCGAGGTCCTGTTTGTATAGGAAAGGCCAGGAAAATGCTTGATCTCTTCACGTAGCTTGCATGGTCCAGTAGCGATGCTTCTGGCTATTTCACTTTGTTTACTGCTTCACGTACCTCTGTGACTCCTGCGTTTGAACATGCGTGGTGCATTTATCACCATCAAAGCTCTTCTGAGGATGCTCCCATCAGCCCACCTGGGCCCAAGAAGCCGCTCTGTCCCTGTGTCTTTTCCATGCAACCCTGGCAGTGTACAGTAGCTTCATGCTTTCTGGGAGGACCCGATGTTCCTGTTCTCCTTCAGGATTCAGGCTCTGTCAGCAGAAGTTCTCCGGTGATTGTTGGAATTGTGATTTTGAGGTTGAGACTTGGTCGGGGGGGGGGGGCTCCCAAGTGAGGACCCAGCTGCACTTACTACAGCCCTGCCGACAGCGTCAGCAGGGACAGTCACTCGTCCAGGTGCTGTGGTCCAGTCACTTTTCCCAGGGACATCTTCCCTTCCAAGACGGGGGCCCCCTCTCTCCTTCCCCCATCACAGGCTTCCAGTAGAGTCTGCTCTTCTTGGTGTATTTTATCGTTTCATTGATTCTGTCAATAAGGTAAGGTGTGCATCTATTCTAAGCAGTTAGACCGATGGCTTCGTCAGTGTAAAGTAAATGTGTGACTCTCAGCAGCTATACTGCCTTCGGGGTCACAGGAAGCTGGCTTTGTCCCCAGGACCCTTCCTCAAGTTGAGCTCCATCAGCTCTGACTCTGACCTCTACTTGCATCCTACCTACCCTGATTGTGTTAACCGGACCCCAGAAAACTGGCTTTTGTCTCAGGTGCAGTTTAGGAAATGCTGGGGTGAGATCCAGATTATATGGAGCCCCCCCCACACTCAAAGCCCACGTCCTGCCCTGCCCGCAGCGCCCTGATGGGGGTCGCATGTCCCTGAGAGGTTGGGTGCCGTCGTCCCAGCCCAGGCCTGAGCCCTGGTGGAAGCTGTCATCTGACTGTGGCTCCAACAGAGCCTGAGCCTGGGAGTTTATAAGGAGCAGAACCGCACCTGGCCCGTGGTGTGGGAGGCCATGGTGAATAAGATGAAGGCCACACCTGGCCAGGGCTTCTTGCTCAGTTATCCCGGTTGTGACCTAACCCCCGGAAGGTGCCACCTCTCGCCCCCGTTGGATTGAGGATTAAGTCTCCAGCACGCGAGCTTGGGGTCGTGTTCAGCCCACAGCTGCTGTGGTGAACCGGCAAAGAACCCGGCTGAGCAGGGCTGCTTTTTCTTGCTTTTTTTTGGTACTGGGGATCAAACTCGGATCCTTGCTCTTGGGAGGCAGGCGGCGGAACCATGGAGCAAAATCCCCGGCCTGGGGCTGCCTGCCTTTGAGATCCCCTTCTAAGGCAGATGAGAAACCGGAGGCAGCCCCTCTCCTGGGCACGTAGGAGCCATGCCCCTGGAGGCCACAACAGCCTGCCCCGCTTCTGAAAGAAAAGGAAGAAAGCAAAGCTGGTAGAGCCACGTCAGCGCTAGCTGACCCTCAGCTTCTGGTTCGTGATCTTAACTTATTGGTGGGCAGCCATGGTCTGCAAGTGTGAAACAGAAAGTTTCATTTTTGAGAAAGACTACATTTCCGTAAGTTTGGTTGTAACACTGAACTGTTCTGTTACTGATCACGGCAGCTGACCCCTGCTGACCAAGCCTCATTTCTCTTTTTTTCTCTTTTTTTTTTTTATCACTAGAGAAAGAAAACATAGCAGCAAGTTCTGTATTGGCTTCAATATGACCAAATAGTTCATCTTTAACATAATGACTACACTCCACAATTGAAGTCAACACAGTCAGTACTACAAATTACTTGTTGAAAGACTCTATCCTGGAGAAGGAAAATTAGGAAAAAGAATTTAAACAATTTCTCCAAACCACATTTATAAATATTGCCATATTAAAAATGCTTGAAAGGCATGGATTCTCCATTCAGCAGTTTTCTCTTGGCAACAGAAAAAAAAAACCTCAGCAATAGTTTATCAGAAGTTTTAAGTGTAAAAGCTGTGTTGTTTCAGGGTTTGCACTTGAGCAATATTGTCATTACAGTAAAGACTCCAAACTGCTGTATACTCACCTCAAATAAAATGTACAGAAAATCCCACCAACTCCAATGTCTTCTGCACTTTGAGTGAACCCATAAACTTTCTGAGTTTAGTTAATAGTAAATACCTCAGAATACCTAAAGAGGTATGTTTCAATTATTAATGGTGTGAAAATTGTCTCAGATCCACTGGTTTAAAGAGCCTTCAAATAACATACTCTTCAATAGAACCTTACCTCATTCCAAATTAATATCAGATATTTCAAAATCAAAAGGATTTGTTCTATACCAAGATACAGGTATTACTCAATACCTGATGGGCTCACATTTTAAATTTATTTGTTAGTGTTTCTTTTTTTGTAAACAAATGATTGATGAAGTAATGCTACACCTTAAATTCCAGAAAATGGCATGGTTTCCCACCCTCTGGTGGATAGGGTGCATGATCCCTCTATTATATGGGATTAGTACAAATTCATGCTTTTGTGTTGTAGTGAAATGTTAAAGAATCCAATGTAGACTGAAGTACAAGTATAATAATCCTTGAATGTGATCAAACCTATGTAAGACACATTCTCTTGGGACTTAGCGTCGTACCGTGGTCCATACATCTTCATCAGTCTCATTTTTAGTACAACGAAGGGGTTCTCTGTCTTTCTCAGCTCTCCATGAGACCTTCTCTTTTTCACCTTCCCTTTCTTGGTCTCTCTCTCTTTCTCGTGACCAAGCCTGGTTTAGAAAGCAAGCTTCCTCGGAGGTGTGTGTACAGCTTGAGCAGTGCTAGCCAGAAAAACCCAGAACCCGAGTCCAACTTGGAGCGCTGCCCTCATGCTCAGGCAGAGTTGGGGTCACAATGTGGACACGAAAAAATCTGCATGCCATCACCTGGGAGAGGCTGGGGCGTGGCTCTGCTGAGGAATGTGGGCATGCAGAGGGCTGGGTTCCCACCTCAATGCCTAAAACACAAAAAGCCCCTCAGGCTCCCGTGTTAGGTCTACCTAAGACAGAAAAGGGTTTCATAGTTAGCCTCGGGTCCACCCTGAAGACATCTCACCATGTGCAGGCTTTCAAAATCAGACACACTTCTGGTCTCAGGCATTTTGGGTAAAGGCTGCTGAGCCATGTGGGAAGGAGGCAGAGTTTATGTGGGCTTCAGCGCTGTCTGCAGTTTCCAGTTTCTCCTGGGGCATCTCGGAACCCCTCCAGGGTGAGTGGGGTCTACGTTATACAACTGCTTCTGTGACCATTTCCAACTCAGTCAGTCACTTCATAAAATTGCTCTTTTCAGTTCCATCTGCCGCTTTCGTCTCTTTGCAGAGAGATCGTAGACAACACCAGCAAGGAGAACGGGATCGACATCGTCATGGCCGACAGGACCTTCCACCTGATCGCCGAGTCGCCGGAAGATGCCAGGTGAGGGGTGACTGCCACTCCGTCCCCAGCACGTCCTCCCCCGGCCTGGGCCGGCGCCGCGCCCTGCTGCCCTGAGAGGGCTGCGCTGACCCCAGTAGGGTTTTCTCTTGAGAACTGAGTCGTAAGAGAAGCGAGTCCCACACCTCCGGGATTCTTTCCTGGGTGGGAGTGTGGGTACCACCCAGGCTCAGCATTTCTGGTCCTCTCTCACTGGCCACGTGAGAAAGCTAAGCTCAGGGTGCACCTTCGAGAAGACTCCGAGCCTTGAAAGTGAACAGCTCATATTTGCAAAAGGATCTAAAGAGCAGTAGCATTAACTGGTGGCTAAATGAATGATACCGTGGAAGTATTCAGAGGGTTTAAAAGTCTGCATGTTGATGTGCTAAGCAGAAGAGGTACTAACTTACAGCTGTTGTGGGCAGCATCAGATGAGTCACATGTATTAGCTCATTTAATTCTCACATGGGCCTCTTAGGTCGGCATTGTTGTCGCCTTTGCTTGCACCTTGCAGAGTAGGAGATGCGTACAGAGAAGGGGCCGTGTCCCTGCTGCAAGCTCATTCTCTTGCGTGGAGGCACTGAGCTTCCCACATTCCTCTCATATGGTGTTTGACCCAGACAGGAGGAAAGCGGTGTCCCCACTGGCAGGACCACACTGCCCGACTCTCTGAACCTCAGGTAGCCATGTTGGGGTGCTCAGGGCCTGCAGCACTAAGTTATTTTTCTCATCACTACCACAAAACACCCGACTTACACAACTTAAAGGAGGAGAGGTTGATTTTGGCTCAGTCTGCAGAGGTTTCAGTCCACGGTCGGCTGGCTGCAGGGCAGGGTGCATGGCACAGGGGAGAGAGCTGCTCACAGCATGGAGGACAGGAAGCAGGGAGCGAAGGGAGGAGCCGGGGAGGGGGATGGACCTCTTCAGGCTACGCCCCCAATGGCCCGCCTCTTCTGACCAGATCCCACTTCCTAACAGTGGGGTCTGTTGACCCCGATAATCCAGTCACCTTCCAGAAGCCCCGCCTGAGAGCGCATGAGGCTCTAGGGGGACATCTGGATCTAAACCATGACAGACAGAAGGGTCAGGAGAGCTGATATTTGCTCTTCAGTCACTCTGAGGCTATGGCACGCAGGGATGGCGTCTCTTCTCTTCCTGCAGGCCTGTGGGTAAGGTCGGTGACTGTCCCGCTCTGAATCCTCTGGCTCACATTCTGTCCTCAGCCCAGGCTCTGATCAGTTCTCGGGACCTCTTCGCCCATTGTCCTGGAGTGTTTTGAAGTCACTGTAGCACCACAATAGCAGCGTTAGCAGTGAAGACACCAGGAAGTCATTCTTCCCATGGGAACAAACTAAACCCCCGGGTGAACTCATAAATTACAACACAAAGTGCAGAAACAAGCAAACCTGAAATTACAGCCCCCTCATTCCGTCTGGGCCTCCTGTTGGGTTTCCGCGGTCCTGGAGGGCCCACGGCTTTTCTGCTGAATTACAAGCCAGGCCGGCAGCTGCCCTGTCTGTGCTGTGAGGAACCTGCTACGTTTAACATTTGGAATCTTTCAGCGAGGACTTTTCCCCCAGCCAGTGGAACACATTTCTGAAATTTTCTTGTCAAATTCCAAGCTATACCTTGATTCAGAGGGGGAAATTTGGAACTTTTTTTTTTTTTTGGTACCAGGGATTGAACTCGGGTCCTTGCACTTGCGAGACAGGCACCGGAACCACTGAGCTAAATCCCCGGCCCCCAGGAAATTTGTAACTTGAAGGTTACCTGTACAGATCGAAGTTCAGCACATTTGGATTTTATTCCTTTTTGTCTGTGATTCTATGTGGCATAACAGACCTTAAATTTGTGAGTTTTGCAATGTTTGATTTAGGAGTTTTGGTTTTTTGTACTGTGCATAGAACCCAGGGCCTTTGGACAGAGCCGTATCCCTAGCCTTTTTTTTATTTTTTATTTTGAGACAGGATCTTACAAGTTGCCAAGGCTGGGCTTAAACTTGTTATCCTCCTGCATCAGCCTCTCAGCGTCCTGGGATCACAGGAATGCAGTACCACACCCAGCTTGGTTTAGGAGATTTTTGAGTTTGGCACAACGACTGTAGACTTGCTTTGTGGTTAACCAGAACAATGGAGCAAGTTTGTATGAAGGTGTTTCCCTTGGTCGTGTCAAGAGTGTCTGTATATTTTGAATAATTTCCAACTCTTGTTCACATTTTCACCCTCAGGAATCACAGGAGATGGATTTTACTTCTTGGCTGTAAATTTATAAGGCCTACCTTTCTCTGGAGGTGATCTCAATGGTCTAGGAGTTACTTTTTCACTTAAATATTCCATCACATGCCAGGTCCTGTCCCCTGTGCCCTATCAGCAGGAATGCTGGGTGCCTTACAGGCTGGGCAGGGGGAGGAGCCCTAGCTTCTCTCACGTGTCCACCCTCTCGTGTGCTGTAGTTGATTAATAAATGCTGAATGGGTGGTGGGTGTCTGGATGTGATGGATGGGTGGATGGATGGGTGAGTGGATGGATGAGATAGATGGGTGGGTGAGATAGATGGATGGATGGGTGGGTGGGTGAGTGGATGGGTGGGTGGATGGATGGGTGGATGGATGGGTGAGTGGATGGATGAGATAGATGGGTGGGTGAGATAGATGGATGGATGGGTGGGTGGGTGAGTGGATGGGTGGGTGGATGGATGGGTGGATGGATGGGTGGGTAGGTGGGTGAGATAGTTAGATGGCCAGCCACTCATGGTTCTTTTCCTCACACATACTCACATTTCTAGTTAATCAGGACTTCTAGATTTTTCTGGAATGACGCATTTTACTTTTATTTTCTGATTTGATGAGGCTGGAAGTGAGAACTGAGTTGCATTCTCTGGTCAAAATCATTTTCCACTCTGTATTTGAAGCAGTGTTTGTGATTCCCGCTCACTTGTGTAGACCTCCTGTTGGGCAGCTGGAAACTCCCTGGTGGGAAGGAGTACAAAGCAGATGTCGAGTGGCCAAACTCCAGTGGTAGTGCTTTTACAGTTTTAGCCTTCTCACCTTGAAACTTACCTTTAAAGACAGGAAGGCACCTGGACGTCCTCCAGGGCAAAATCCTATTCGGTAACTGTCCTGGATATGAGCATTTGGAGTAGAAGTAAAGATTTCATTATTTGCTATAAATTTCTCAAGGGACTCATCATCCTCAATGTCTGAAGGGCTGTGGGACTGGAGAAGAGAGTCTGCTCTTTGGCTGTTTGGTTTTGAGAGAGACAGGGTCTTGCTGTGTAGTTGAGGGTGGCCTACAACTTGCCGTGACCCTCCTGCCTCAGCCTCCTGAGTGCTAGGATCTTGACTTCAGTTTGAAACATGGTATCTAAGGGTACTTTGGTTGCTCTTTCTAACATAGAAATCCCACGTTTGCTCCAAATCCAAAGGACAGTTCTTGTGGATGTTGCTCTCTCATGGGGGGCCACCATCTGGTTCTTTCGGCCCACATGGGGCCGCCCCTCACCATGCCTTCTCTCCACAGCCAGTGGTTCAGTGTGCTGAGCCAGGTGCACACGTCCACCGACCAGGAGATCCAGGAGATGCAGGACGAGCAGGCTAACCCGCAGAACGCTGTGGTGAGTGCAGGCGCTGGCCCCGGGCTACGGGAGAGTGACCGGCAGCTGCCACACGGCTTTCTCTTAAAAGTGTAGTAATGAAAAAGAAAAGCAGGGTCATTGGGTGTACAAATCATACTTTGGGAAGACAGTAGATGACAGACCCTTAGCAGTGGTGCCTTCCCATTCTGCCACCTCAGACTTGGAAAAGGTTCCACGCTTGGACATCGAGGATGTGTGAGACACCTGGGCTGCAGAGGGTGGGGTGGGTTCTGAATCGTGTTCCATCTGCCTTTACTCCACACACAGAAACAAAGGCATCAAGTCCCATTCTAGAAATGAGGCTTTATTTCCGCCTAAGAAAAACACGGCAGTAAAAGTGTAAAACTTAACAGAAAACCATAGCATCAGTTGGAAAACTGGCACTGTTGAAAGGAGTTCAGAAACCACTCTGCTCATCCGGAAGCCCTTTGAGAACGGGGAAGAACGCGCTCCTGATCCTTCAAGGAACGGACTACTGGTTCCACCCGCCTGGTCTCCAGTCTGTTCACTCAGCGAAGGGCAGCTCGCTTTCTAGGAACTGTAATTTCACAGCTGGCTAAGGGAGAGGGAGCCTGTTCACTTTGCCCACATAGGGAGCTGTAGTCAGGGGCACGGCTCTGACGCAGACCCACTTGGTGCTTCTCACTGTGCTTTTTGCTCCTCCGCAGGGCACATTGGATGTGGGGCTGATCGATTCCGTGTGTGCCTCTGACAACCCTGACAGGTACGCTCCGATGTGGCTCTCAACAGAGTGGTTTAAGAGCTAGGCGTGGTGGCATACCCCTGTGATCCCAGCACTTGGGAGGCTGAGGCACGAGAATCTCGGCAAGTTCAAGGCCAGCTTGAACTACATAGTGAGACTGTCTCAAAAAAAACAATGTGACTTAGGAACCTGCATGTGGCCGCAGGTCCCTCGATGGCTGCCCTTGGCTGTGAGATCGTGCTGGGGTATGTTCGGCCTTCCAAGCTGTTACCCAGTTTTACAGCACATAGAAGTGAGACTTCCCCTGTGGCTGTCTTCGGACAGTGGAAGTCATTGAGAGGGTGGGTTTGGAACAACAGCAAGGTCAGAGGAAGGTTCTCTGTTCAGACAGAGACGCAAGCAGCTGGACAGTGTTCCAGCACAGGGAGGCTGCAGCTGCTCTCGCTGAATTTAAGGATGGATTTGAAAAGGAATTTGGTCATAATGCCCCCATAGAGTGTGAATAATCAGACCCCAGCTATTTCTTCCCTTCACATGTCGGCTTTTTCCGTGCCCTGAAAATAGCGTGTTTTCAGTTTTGTTCTCCGACAGCAAATCTACTTTGGAGGCTGTATGCCCGGTGAGGTCTGTTTGTCTTTGATGCTCGTAAACTGTTTCTGGCAGACTTTGAGAAAAATTGCTCTAGGGGGATTTAAAAAAAGAATTAAGATGTGATCGGTACATATACGAACTCTCCACAGTAATTGTAATCATTATGTACTGCAAACATGGACTAATAAAAATTAAAAAGAGGGCAAAGTCCTCACTGACATGAGGCCCAGACATCACCCCTACCCACGTTGCCCAGTTACATTCCAGGGTGGTGATTTGGTCAGATCTTAAAAATGGATAAATAGGCTTCAAGGAGTTGTTCTGTGTGGAGCTATTCACCTCATTGTTTCACTTACGTTGTTGCTAAGATAAAATACCTGACACCCAAAGTTAAAGGAGGAGAGGTTTATTTCAGCTCACAGGTTTGTAGAGGTTTCAGTCCATAGTCAACTGTCTCCGAGGCAGGGCAGCATGACAGAGAGGCACTGGCAGAGGAGGAACAGTCCATGGCAGGGCAAGCAGGAGGTAGCGAGCAACAGGCAGCAGCAGCAACAAACCTGCTTTCTTTCTGTCCCTTTCTATTCCATCCAGACTGTAAGCCTGTTCATTAATGCCACCCACACCGAGGATGGGGCACCCATTATCCACACTCTTCCTCCCAGCATCACATCCTTAATCCCAGTACCACATCCCCTAATCCAGCCACCTTCAAAACTCCCCACCTGTGACCACATGAAATTTTGGGGGAACAGCTAGATATAAGCTATGAACAGTAAACAAATATTCTACCTGTGAGAAACAGCAAAAAGAAAAGAAAGGGGGCTGAGAAAGAGAGAAATTGCTCTATTACTGGAGTGAGAATTAAAACTGACTTCTGCCTTTTATATGATAGCTGGCAAGGGGGTCTGAGTACATTAAAATTGGCAACAAAAAAAAAAACAGCATCTGACTGGCAAAATGAGATCCCTGTGTCACTGTCAACCTTCATCAGTGTGGCTCTTCTGAACTGCAGATCCATTGTTTTCTCTTTTTTTTGGTACTGGGGATAGAACTCAGGACGTGAACCATCTCCCGCTGCACTCTACCTTTGCCTGATACCAAACTCTTTAATACCTGCATGTGACCAAAGCCCAAATTCTTACTGTGCCACTTGAGCTCCGCCTTTAGTGGTGGCACACACCTGTAATCCCAGCTCGGGAGGCTGAGACAGGAGGATTGCCATGAATTCAAGGCTAGCCTAAACTGTATAGTGAGACACTGTCTCAAAAAAAAAAAAAAGTTCCATTCTTGCCCAATCTACCTCTTTCTTCACCCAAGCTCCCTCCCTGCAGCAGACTGGGCACGTGATGGTCCATGCTTAGAACTTGGCATCTCAGATTTTTTCTCTCCTCACTTGCTGCCCTTCTCAACTGTAGAAAAATCTTTTTTTTTTTCCAAGAGGACTCTGCTTCAGCCCTTTTGTCTCGATTTCCCTGCCCACTGAAGTCCAGTTAAAACTTCTTTTTCTTGGACTGGTTTAGTGCTTCACCTCAGTACTCAGTTGAAAATTTTTGAGACAGAATTCACACTCCTTAGGTTGAGCGATTAGAGGAATTAGTGGGCCACAGCCTGCAAGAGGTTCAGAGCTTTGCCAGACCGAAAGAGCTGAGAGTGACAGTAAATTTCCATTATCACTTTCTCCCTGGCTGGGAAATCCACCCCCTGTTAGCTTGCTCCAAAAACACAGACCAGGGTGGCTTTGTGTCCCAGGCATAGCACAGTGCAGAAGATGGTCCACTTCTGTTGACCGAGCTCTTCTGAGGTTGGAGTTTGCTATTTCATTCCCGACCCACAGAAACATCATCCCAGGCAACATCCAGAGTCAGGAAGACATTGACTTTGGAGAAGCAACATAAAGCCTTTCCCCTGTGATCACCTCATTTAGCATTCCCAGAATTTGAGTTTCCTCTGGAAAGTTTTGCATGGAGGAGAAGCGTTGTCCCTCCTGGGACCTTCTGAATGAATACATTTCAAGGTTAATGATGTGTGAAATAAGTCCTGCCGGAAGGACGGGGTCTGCCTTAGTGTAAAGCGCAGGCAGCGTAGCATTGTGTGTCCCGCGGCCGCAGCCACAGAAGGCATTTCGCTTGTCTCTGTGCAGATGGTGGAGACGCTGGCCCCTTAGCTTTGCATCCTTCTCCCCCATCCCTCAGGCCCAACTCGTTCGTGATCATCACGGCCAACCGTGTGCTGCACTGCAACGCCGACGCCCCCGAGGAGATGCACCACTGGATCACGCTGCTGCAACGCTGCAAGGGCGACGCGCGCGTGGAGGGCCAGGAGTTCATCGTGCGAGGTGCGCGGGCAGCCTCGCGTGCCCCCTTAGCAGCATTGCCTTCAAGTGGCTCTTCTGAGTTGCTGCGGCTCATGTTGAAGTTTTTAAAAATAAACGAGCAGGCCAGGGATTTAGCTCAGTGGTTCCGGCGCCTGCCTCAAAATTGCAAGGTCCCGAGTTGGATCCCCGGTACCAAAAAAAAAAAGTAAACGAACAACCCTCGTGGCTATTTTCTATCAAATAGGTTATGTTTGTATAATGCAGTCCATTACAATGGTGTGGGACTTGGGGTCTCATTGCTTTGCTTTGCTTTGCTTCGCTTTGGTGAGCTGGGGCCCCGAGTGTCAGGCAAGCGCCTCTCACTGAGCTGTCCCCCAGCCCTTTTGCAGTTTTGAACTCACACCCCAGCCTTCCTTTCCAGGATGGCTGCACAAAGAGGTGAAGAACAGTCCGAAGATGTCTTCACTGAAGCTGAAGAAGCGCTGGTTCGTCCTGACCCACAACTCCCTGGACTACTACAAGAGCTCGGAGAAGAACTCCCTGAAGCTGGGCACGCTGGTTCTCAACAGCCTCTGCTCCGTCGTGCCCCCAGATGAGAAGATCTTCAAAGAGACAGGTGACCAGGAGGGCTGCAGGCTCAGCTTGCTCTGGGTACATGCTGGAGCTTCCTGCCGAGCCCGGAAGCAGCTCTGGACACTTGGCCCGTGAGCTGCAGCAATGAGGTTTCCACTCATGGAGGGGCGGGAAACTAAGTAGACACAAAGTGCCCGTCCTATAGGAGGCCTTGTGTTGAACATGCTTTACACCATGTGCATCTACAGAGGTAATTCCTGGCTGTGAACTTAGCCTCCTGCAATGCATGAAAAACAGGCATGTAAGCATCGAAGTGATTTTTTTGTTTTTTGAGGTAGGGTCTCACCGTGTAGTTCCCAAGGGCCTCAAACTCACAGCAATCCTCCTGCCTCAGCTTCCCAAGTGCTGGCATTACAGGTGTGTGCCACCACGCCTGGTGTGGGTTTTTTTTGTTTTTTGTGGTATTTTTAAAGTGTTTCTGGAAGATTGCCTATTTTGATTTTTGTTTCTAGTTGTGGTTTTGTGTTTTTTTAGCCATGGTCACGCCGTGCACGTCAGATCTGGGACGTGTTGTGATGTTTGTGTGGACACGCAGACCGCTGAGCCCAGTGTTTGCTGCTGGAGAGGCCGGGGGGAAGACAGGGAGACCGGGAAGTGGGAGGAAAGTCAGAATCTGCTTGTTCCAGAAATGTGTCCCTAGAAAGAGACATTAGCCTGCCCCTGCTCTCCTTGAGAACAAATGTCATGGTGTATGTATTGAATTCTGGGTCTTTTGTATGAATGTTTGTCGTCGCCTCTCTGCTGGAAACTGGAGTGTGAGGGACACGTGGTCTTTATGCTGGGCACGGCACGGGGAGGGTTCAGCATCTGTTGAGTTAAGGGACAGATCCATTAAACTCGGGGGCTTGGGTCCCAGAGGACAGGGCTGCTCATGATGCTGGATTTCTGGGACGGGTACCAGGGCGTCGCCCCAATCCCAGCGCCAGCGTGTTCCTGCTGCCACTGTCCTTTCAGGCTACTGGAACATCACCGTGTATGGGCGCAAGCACTGCTACCGGCTCTACACCAAGCTGCTCAATGAGGCCACCAGGTGGGCCAGCGCCATTCAGAACGTGACCGACTCCAAGGCCCCGATAGACACCCCGACCCAGCAGCTGATCCAGGACATCAAGGTGAGGTGGGGCCAGAGCAGCCCTCGGCCCCCGGGACCTTGGCGTTAGGCCAGCTGGGTGTTCACAGGTGTGAGGTTGTAACTGGGATTTTACACTACAAACATTTGGCCTCCAAGAAGGTGTTAGGTTGTTGGGCTCTCAGGGGTCTGCAGTTGGGGCTGTCGGCTGCACGATCACAGGGAGAGGCACAGCTGGGCTAAAGTGGATTCATGAGGATCCCCGATAGAACATTCTGAACATTCAGGATCCCTGTCAGTCACTGCCAGTCTCCAGGAGCCGCAAGTCTCTGGATTAATAGTGATCACGTTAGGTTGTGGTTTCCTGCCTAAAAGTTTGAATTGCTGGGTCATTGTATGTCAGTTGAAGGAAGCAGTGATTGCATGGCAGCCGCAAGCAAGGGTTTTACACTCGTTTCCCAGGCGCGGAGGTGGAGACCTGGGGCTTTGTGCTTGTGGTGTTCACAGAGCTGTCAGTCCATGATGCGGGACCGTCAGCTGTGACAGAACACACTAAAATGATGGCAAGTCAGGTGTTGCCGAGAGCTCTGCTGGACCCCAGGGTGCCGGATACAAATAAGCTCACTTTTAGCCTTAAAGAAAATGAATTTTTTTTTTTGAGACAGGAATTTTTAAAAAATCCTTTAGCCCTACTTTCCCTTCAAAGCTATAGCACATCTATTTTTATATTCTATAACTATGATTTCAGACATTCAAAGGATAAATATAATTTTCCAGATGTACAATGATGCTCTTTATGAAATGCAACAAATTGCTCTAATTAAGTGTTCCACAGAACACTTTTAAAGTAATTTTAAATTTTTCTGTGGCTTCCTATTGGGTGTTACTAAAAAAGACTCACAGTGGAAGTGAAATGAGCATGAAAGAATGATTCATGGCCTGTTGTCCAGCTTTTCTGATTTTTAAAGCTCTGGAAGTAATTGGCCTTTTCAAGTCCCAGATTTCAGGGCGGGGGGCATGAGGAGGAAGAGTCCCTGTGAACATACAATGTGTGGTGCTTTAGGTACAGAGAAAATACAAAAGAACTAGCAAAATGTGTGTTTAAAATGAATTCCAGGTGAAGATAGCACAGTGAATGGCCAAATCCTTAGAAGAGAAGTTCCAATTTTTTTTGGTGGGGGGGTACCACGGATCAAGCTTGGGACCTTGCACTTGCAAGGGGGCCGTCAGAACCACTGAGCTAAATCCCTGGTCCAGAAGTTCCAATTTTTTAAGTACTCTCTGTATAGAATCTGCAAGGGGTGGTTTTAATAACATAAGACAGTTCATGCACCTGAAACAAAATGAGCTGTGGAAGAAACTGTGATTTGTCTTGAGACACAACTTGCGTTTGTCTTTGTCCTTGAAACTATTGACACTGGAAATAGATGAATGGATAGAGCAACGGAGGTGTTTACACACCGTGGAACATTTGCCTGCCATAAAGAAGGATAAACTTGAGTCGGGTGCACCTTGAGACCATAATGTTGAGTGAAATAAATCCAACACACAAGCTTAAATATCACACGGTTTCTCTTATATGAGAAACCAAAGTAAGAATAAATTAAAGAGCAAGGCAAAAGATAGAAATAGAAAACAAGGGCGATCTCTTACAGATGGGAAGGGAACGAGGAGATGAAGGGGTGGGAAAAGGGCTGTGAAAGGAATCAAGCTGCATTATGTAGATGCACCAGCTCCCTGTGATGAATGTAATCATTGTGTACCACAACATGTTCTCATAAAACTAAAAATGAAAAAAACGTATACCACCCCTGTTAGGTTGACTGTGGATGTCTGAGATGTTTGGAAACACCAGTGTGGGAAGGTCCAACTGATGGGGCACTGCGTCTGTCTGCGTGCGCGTCCCTCCCCTCTGTAACAAGCCTTGTGCTTCCAGGAGAACTGCCTGAACGCCGACGTGGTGGAGCAGATCTACAAGCGGAACCCGATCCTGCGCTACACCCACCACCCGCTGCACTCACCACTGCTGCCGCTGCCCTATGGGGACATCAACCTCAACCGTGAGTCCTGGTGGGCTGCTCCGGGGCTGGAGCTTTGGAGCTTGGTTTCAGTGATACAAGGACGGTTCGCAGTGACAAAGAACGCCAAGGGCTCAGAGATGGCAGTGACAGAGTGGCCCTGGATGGTGCCTGCCTTGCTGAGCCTTCAGCCCACTGCCTGAGAGGCTTTGGGGCAGAGGACTCTCCCAAGCTGCCTCTGACGCTCTTCTTGTCGCTGGGACAAAATACCTGGTACCCACAACCTAAGGAGGGAGAAGTTGATTTTAGCTCTCAGTCTGCAGAGGTTACAGTCCATACTCTGGCTCCAGGACAGGCCAGCATAGAGCAGGCTGCCAGGGACAGCTGCTCACAGTAAGGGGCACTGGAAGCAGGAAGCAAAGGGAGGAGCCCAGGGGGTGCTAAACCCTCTCAGGCCACTCCCCTGGGGCCCACCCCTTTCAGACAAGGCCCTGCCCCTTCCGGGCCAGACCCTGCCTCCTAACTGCAAGCCAGCTATGAGCTGCTATAACCCAGTCAAGTCCTGGAAGCCTACCCTATGAATGAATAAGGCTTCAGCAAGACGTCTAGATCTAAACCATAACACCAGCTGTAGGCTCATAGGGGTCCTGGGCACGTTTAGGAGAGGCTAGTCTAAGCTATGACAGTAGGTAGGTTGGAAGCATTGTGCGTGTGGGTGTGCGTGTGTGTGTGCGCGCACGCGTGCGCGTGTGCTTCCATTCCTAGGGATTGAACTCAAGGCCTCACGTATACTAGGCAAGCACTCTAGTGCTCATCTCTGAGCTACAGCCCTATGGCTCTTTTTTTTGTTTGTTTTCTTTTTTGATACAGAGTCTTACAGTGTAGTTCAGCCTGGCCTTGATCTCAATACGTAGCCCAGGGTGGTGTCAAACTCCCTGTGGTCCTCCCGCCGCAGCCTCCCGAGTGCTGACATTACTGCCCAGATTTGATGCACTTTTTACTTCATGATATTTTCACATATAGATTGAGTCTATTGGGATGTTGCCCCATGTTAAATAAAGGAACATGTCTATTGGATAAACAGATTTTAAAACAATTTTTTATGCTAAGTATGGAACCCATTCAGCCATAAATTAGCTTTTTTTTTTTTTGGTACCGGTGATCCAACTTGGGTCCTTGTGCTTGCGCAGCAGGTGGCGAAACCACTGAGCTAAATCTCCGGCCCCATAAGCTAGCTTTTAAATGAGCATTTTATGTAGTAAAACGTCCAGTGATAAGCTGAACATGCGGCGCCTGTCGGTAATGTCAGCTCTCTGGGAGGCTGAGACGAGAGGAGGATTCCAAGTCAAAACCCGGCCTGAGCAGGCGACTTAGCGGAGAAGTGAGACCCTGTCTCAAAATTTAAAACAATTTAAATAAATGCTTTTTTTTTTTTTTTTGGTACCAGGGATCGAACTCAGGTCCTTGCGCTTGCAAGGCAAGCGACAGAACCACTGAGCTAAATCCCTGGCCCTAAATAAATGCTTTTAAAAGGGCTGGGGATGTAGCTTAGTGCACAGGCCCTGGACTCGATCCCTAGTATTAAAACACAGGTTGAGTTCTGTAACAAAACTGTAACCCACCGTTTCCCCGCTCTGTGTCGCCGACCCAAGGGGGACCACGGTGGGTGCTGTTGGGAGGAGACCGCTGCTCCTGTGCCCCTCGGGGAGACCTCTCTCCGCACCACGGTAACCTGGTGCCTCTTCCCTAGTGCTCAAGGACAAGGGCTACACCACCCTGCAGGATGAGGCCATCAAGATCTTCAACTCGCTGCAGCAGCTGGAGTCCGTGTCCGACCCGGTGCCCATCATCCAGGGCATCCTGCAGACGGGCCACGACCTGCGGCCACTGCGGGACGAGCTGTACTGCCAGCTCATCAAGCAGACCACGCAGGTGCCCCAGCCGGGCAGCACGGGCAACCTGTGCAGCTGGCAGATCCTCGCCTGCCTGGGCTGCACCTTCCTGCCCAGCCGTGGGATCCTCAAGTACCTCAGGTTCCACCTGAAAAGGTGATGTCGGGGAGCCACGCAGGCAGGGGGCGTCAGGGAGCCGGACAGTTCGGCGCGGTACCCGGCTGGGCAGGATGGGGGGGGGGGGGCGCCGTGCAGAGGAGTCCCAGCTTAGGGTCCTTACACACCAGGTGGGTGCAAACAGTCTGATTGGGTTTTTTTTAATATGTAAGAGGTTTTTTCTTTCATTTTTAAAAATTTATTTATGTATGGGATTTTTTGAGTCAGGGTCTCACTGTGCAGTTCAGGCTCGTCACGAACTCACTAAGGGGCCCAGGCTAGTTTTGACCATGAAGTGCTCCTCCTGCCTCAGCCTCCTAAGTGCTGGGATAACAGGAGTGCGCCCCCACGCCTGGCTTAAGAATTTTATCTCATTTTACTGGGGTTTTTTGTTTTTTCGTTTTTTTGCTTTTTATTTTTTCATTAGTAAATGTTTACTTTTTAAAATCTTACTGTCTGCCAGAGGTTTCCAACATGATGTCTCATGTTATGGGATACCTTTTAATTGTAAAATGGTTATCACAGTAAGGCAGATTACTGTATTTCTCATCATACTTAGTTTTGTGAGAGACAGAGGTGAAACCAGGTACAATGGCCGGGCGTGGTGGTGTGTGCCTGTCATCCCAGTGCTCGGGAAGCTGAGGCAGGAGGATCTCTGCCAGTTGTAGGCCAGCCTGGACAGAGATCCTGAGCAGAGGAGCTGGACCTCCCTGCCAGCCACCGCTGTTTTCCTGACCACCACTGGGGGGCACTCCGCGAGAAGGCTGCAGGTGCCTGGCTGGCCCAGGGCAGATGCAACTAACAGTTGGCCTTTGAATTCTAGGATCCGGGAACAGTTTCCAGGAACTGAGATGGAAAAATACGCGCTCTTCATCTGCGAATCTCTCAAGAAGACCAAGTGCCGAGAGTTCGTGCCCTCCCGAGACGAGATCAAGGCTCTGATCCACCGGCAGGAGATGACGTCCACCGTGTACTGCCACGGCGGGGGCTCCTGCAAGATCACAATCGCCTCGCATACCACTGCTGGGGAGGTGAGGGCCGGGGACACTGAGCAGCGCCAGGCTGCCGGCCACACCTGTGCTCCCAGCACCCGGGAGGCAGGGCTATCTGACGTGGCTCCGGTGAACACTTTTTCTCTTCAACTTAGCATTATGGTTTGGGGGATTTTCTTGTGGTCTTTTGACACACCATTGAACTACACTGCCATGTAGTTCAGGCTGGCTGTGAACTTGTGGCAGTCCTCCTGCCTCAGCCTCCTGAGTGCTGGGATTACAGGTGTGCACCACCACGCCCGGCTCTGAGTTTAGCATGATGAAGCCCACTGGCTAAGAGGAGCAAGGTACCAGAACCTGCCAGGCTTCCTCTGAAGTTACTGTTGCCTGCCGTAGTTGGTGGTCTTAGGTAAAGGGCAGGACCCCAGCGTCTCACTTGCTTTTCCACCTCCGGCCCCAGCAGTGGCCCCAACACCGTGCTCCGTGTTGACCGGAGAGAGCAGAGGGACCCTGTCTTGCAGGTAGTGGAGAAGCTGATCCGCGGGCTAGCCATGGAGGACAGCAGGAACATGTTCGCCCTGTTCGAGCACAATGGCCGCGTGGACAAGGCCATCGAGAGCCGCACCGTGGTGGCAGATGTGCTGGCCAAGTTTGAGAAGTGAGTCCCGTGGGAGCAGGCGGGGCAGGGGGAGCGGCCTGTGTGCCCGCCTGAGCTCCAGCCTGCAGCAGCCTCCTGTGTCACTTTGTCTTATTTTCCCCTGCTGAAGTAGGCTTAGCTCTCCTCTCTGCTCCCTGTGTTTCCTCATTCCCACACAAAGCCATGGTCTCAGATGGTTTAACCAAGCCACGCCTGTGATCCCAGCACTCGGGAGGCTGAGGCAGGAGGATTGCTGTGAGTTTGAGGCCAGCTTGGGCTACACAGAGAGACACTGTCTCCACAAAAATATGCCTGTGCTATTTGTATTCTGACTTCATGGCCCCTAAATAGCGCAGAACACCTCCTGCTCAGCATAAACGCAGCCCTCAGAGAATGCTTCTTTCTACCGCTCACTGTAATTTACTTGAAGGCAGGAAAAGGAAAATAAAGGAAGTGGCTTTCTTTTCTGTGTGCGGGTGCAGCACACGGCTCAGCTGGCACCCGCTAGACAGGGCCCTGGCAGCGAGCTCTCCGGGCAGGGTTTGGCTGTGGCTGTTTGTGTTTCTCGAAGTGAGACAGGAGCGTGTGCCTGGCTCTGGTGAGGCCCCTGTCACTGCCCTGCGTTCTCCCCGTCCCCGGGTCCCCCTGTTGTCCTCCCATTGTCCCGAGAGATCAAGCCGTGTGTGTGACCTGCCCTGCCGTGCTGAGTCTCTGACCCCGTCCCTAGGCTGGCCGCCATGCCCGACGCGGGGGACCTACCCTGGAAATTCTACTTCAAACTCTACTGCTTCCTGGACACGGACAGCGTGCCAAAGGACAGCGTGGAGTTCGCCTTCATGTTTGAGCAGGTGAGGGACTCGGACCAGCTGCCCTGGCCAGCTGCTGGGCCTCAGAGACCGCGGCCAAAGCCGGGTGCCACAGTGCACTCGGCATCTGGATCCCAGCTCCGGGGAGGCTCAGCATGGGGCAGCCTGCACTCCACAGGGAGACTGTCCAGTCGGTCTCCTGGGGCCGGCAGAGTCCCCGCCGGGACAAGGCCTGCAGCTGTTCCCGCCATGTGGAGGACGAAACTAAGCCACGTTTTGTGTGAACTGTTCCAGTCAGGGGAGCGAGTGTAGCAGTAAAGGACATGGCGGTGTCCGGGCCGGCCATGCTGGGGTGAAGTTAGGTGGCGGGCTGGGCGAGGGCACGGTGTTCTGTTCTGTTCAGTGTTTTATCTCTGTACTAGTCGGTGCAGAATGGCCGCGTCCTCCTGGGGAGGTGGGGCCTGCGCCCGACACAGCACGACTTTGCCTGCGTTCCTCGCCCCTCCACCTCCTGCTCCCCTCTGCAGAAGGTCTGGCTGCCTATTTACTACTCTCTTTCATCCTCCTCTTTGTTTATGCTCTGGACTTCTCGTATAAGAGAAAACCATGCACTATTCAGCATGTGTTTGTGATTTATTTCACTTAACGTTCTGGTCTGAAGGTGCGTCCATTTTCCCACAGGTGACTCCAGATGCCCTTCTTTAGGGTAGAGTAGTACTCCATGGTGTGTAAATACCATGGTTCCTTTATTTGTTTCTTTGTTGATGGACATGTAGGCTGCTTGTGAGATTTAGCTTTTGTGAGTCCTGCTGCTATAAACATGGGGATGTGTGGATCCCTGTAATACAGTGTCTCTCAATTCTTGGGAAGGAGAACAGCGAGGTGGAATGGAGTTTCTAGTGGTAGTTTCGAGGATTCTCCACACTGGTTTGCGTCCTGATTGTGGAGCCGAAGTTGCCCCCGCCCACCGAGAGGGCAGGGAGGGTGCCCCGGAGCGGAGCGCGGTCCTCTGACCCTGCGCCCCTCCCCACAGGCCCACGAGGCGGTGATCCACGGCCACCACCCCGCGCCCGAGGACACGCTGCAGGTGCTGGCAGCCCTGCGGCTGCAGTACGTGCAGGGCGACCACTGTGCGCAGGCCGCCATGCTGCCCCTGGAGGAGCTGTACTCGCTGCAGCGGCTGCGGGCGCGCGTCAGCCAGGCCACCACGCGCAGCGCCAGCCCGGGCCAGGGAGAGCGGCTGCAGCGGCGGCGTGCCAGCTTCCTCGAAGGGACCCTGCGGCGCAGCCTGCGGCCCGGGCCCGGACGGCAGCGGGCAGACGAGGAGCAGGCGCTGGAGCTGTGGCTGCAGGAGGAGCTGGGCGGCGTGCGCGCCAGCGTGCTGAACAAGTGGCGGCGGCTGCAGGGCCTGAGCCAGGAGCAGGCGATGGCCCAGTACATGGCGCTGGTCAAGGAGTGGCCGGGCTACGGCTCCACGCTCTTCGACGTGGAGGTGAGTGCGGGGCGGGGCTGCTCCTCTTTCCTTCTAAATGCTTCTGTCGTATTAGGGAAGAATATGGTAGGTTTTTATGGTTTTTGTTTTGCGACAGGGTCTCGATGTGAGTCCAGGCTGGCCTCAAACTCGTGGTGGCAATCCTCCTGCCTCAGCCTCCCCAGTGCTGGGATTACAGGCGTGCGCCACCACACTCAGTTCATTGCTACTGTTTTGGTTCGGTTGTTTTTGTTTTGTTTAGTAGCCGCTGACTGAAAGAAACCTCACTAATGCTATAGACGAGGTTTGGCTCTCCTCTCTCTCCTAAAAAGAAGAATTAAAAGAGATTTTGGCAAACTGGCCGCGGGTCCAGTCCGACCTGCCTGTGTGTTCGGGGTGCTTCGCCAGCACAGTCGCGCTCCCCCGCCCTCTGCTGGGTCTTGCCTGGCTGCTTCGGGCCGTGGCGAGGCGCAGGGCTGAGCTCCACCCGGCGCTGCACTCCCCAGTTCTTGGCCTCATCCCACTGCACCTGCCGCCTGGTGATGGAAGTCCGGTTCCTCCCCAGATCCACACCCAGGTCTCCTACCCGAGGCCTCGCAGTGCTCTCCGAGGCTGCTGTTTCGGGTTCCGGTGTTGGTTGGGTCCATCGGGTATGCTGCAGGTGTGATCCATGCCCGGGGCCGGGGCCGGGGCCGGGGCCGCCTGCGCTCGTATCCTTCCGCGGTGCTCCTTCAGATCAGCCCTTCGCCTGGGCTCTGATCTCTCCGTCAGTCTGGGGAGGGGTCAGCAGTGAGGTCAGGGAAGCCCCTTTTTGCACTGAGCAGGCAGGAGGTCTGTCATCTTAGCGCTTGGGAGGCTGAGGTAGGAGGATTGCTGCAAGTTTGAGGCCAGCTTGAACTACATAGCAAGGTCCTGTCTCAACAAACCGTAAGAAAAAGTCTGTGCCGCTCCTTGTGAGGAGCAGCCAGACCTGCCCAGCACAGTGAGTTGGAAATTTTCACTGGGCCTCACCCACCCGAGTCCCAGGTCAGGCAGAGGCCTGCAGACGCGCTGCTGTGGTCTTCCGCCCTCGGATCCTGGCCCCTGCTTGGCGTCCCGCTAACCCTGCCTGTCTCCCCGCAGTGCAAGGAGGGCGGCTTCCCGCAGGAGCTGTGGCTGGGCGTGAGCGCCGACGCCGTGTCCGTGTACAGGCGCGGGGAGGGGCGCCCCCTGGAGGTCTTCCCGTACGAGCACATCCTCTCCTTCGGGGCGCCCCTGGCCAATACCTACAAGATCGTGGTGGACGAGCGTGAGCTGCTGTTCGAGACCAGCGAGGTGAGGGCCTCCCACCCCCTAGCGCCTGTGACCAAGCCCCCTCCTTGGGATATTTTCCTGTTTGCTGTATGAAAATACAGTAGAGCCCAGCATGGTGGTGCATGCCTGTAATCCCAGCTCTCTGGAGGCTGGAGCAGGAAGATCGCTGAGTTTGGGGCCAGCCTGAGGTACACTGTGAGACCCTGGCTCAAAAAAGAACAACGAAAAAAGGAGACAGAAGGCAAGGAACTGATGGGAGGAACAGAAGTGGCTGGTGGGGAGCTGGCCCCTGCGACCTCCCAGCAGGCGACCAGAATTAGGGCATCCGGCTTCAAGGCCGACCGTGAACTTGGCATTTCCGCGACCTTCCCTGACTCCAGTGCCCCGTGAAGTGCTCGCTTAACGGCCAAGTCTGACAGTTTACATCCAGCAAAATTTTGCACACAGCAACCACCAGGTGGCGTGCACTGCATTTCCAAAAAACACAATTCCTTTCTCCCTGGCTGGGAAGTCTTTTGGGAAGGGTCTCACTATGTAGTCCAGGCTGGCCTGGAACTTGTGCTGATCCTCCTGCCTCAGCCTCCCGAGTGCCCTGGCTGGTAATCGGGAAAAACAGTCACATTCTTGGCTTCGTACAGGATAGTAGCCCAGGCCACACGTCGGAAGCCGCTGGCTTCTGCATGGAGGGCAGGGAGCTGTGGGTGTGTGGCCGGCCTGCTGGTGGCCTGACCTTGTGGCGCTTCTGTCTCGGCAGGTGGTGGACGTGGCCAAGCTCATGAAGGCCTACATCAGCATGATCGTGAAGAAGCGCTACAGCACCTCGCGCTCTGTGAGCAGCCAGGGCAGCTCGAGGTGAAGGCGACAGGCACTCCCGGCCCTGACCTGAACGAACCGCCATCAGCCTGGGCACAGCTGCCTGGCGCCCTGGAAGCCCCAGGTCCTTTCGCCCCGTCAGCTGCCGAGACTGTGCCCTAAGCCGCCCACCTAACAGTCTGCAGTTTCCAAAGCTTTACTGCTCTAGATGACTCATGCCTTAAAGAAAGGGGAGAGAAGCCACGCTGCCACCAAAGCAGCCACAAGTGCCTTACCCTGCAGACCCAGCCCTCACCAGCCTTGGCCTTGGCCGTGCTGCTGAAGGAGCTGTTCCAGCTCGCAGGGAGGGGGTGTCTTATCAGCTGTGCACTAATCTCCCACCCGCCCGCTCCCCCCAGGGAAGGTAAGGGAGGGGCGGGAGCAGAAGGCAGGGACAGTGTGGCCGGAGCGCTGCTGGCAGCCTCCCTGGGACTCGAGTCCACCCTGTGCTTTGTGTCATTTCCAGCGAAGGTGCTTGCAAAAACTTAGCTCTCATCACAAGCATTACACACAAAGGGAAGAGGATGTGCAATGGTGTAAACAGTCTGTATATTTTCCTAGTTCAGAGTTAGTCCTCAGCCACTGCCTTGGAAGGTGGTTTTGTTACCGAGCCGGATTCCTGGATTTCCCTGCCTGTGCTGCTGGGCCCGGTTTTGCTCCCGTGTAGCGAAGGCTGCTGGGTGGCTGTATTTATAGCCTGCTCACTCCCGCTCCAGGGCTGTTTTTAGAACAGGGTGAAGTCATCGCCCAGGCTTTCATTTCTAAACCAGTTAAGCTGAAAGAGGCCTTTCCTTGAAGGTTAGTGCTGACCCCCTGGACGGGGCGGCTGTTGCCAGCTCCCACAGGAGCTGCTGCGTGCCTAAGGCCTCGGAAAATGTGTGCATACAGTGGGTCCGGACCGCGCACCTGTAAATAAATGGGCTCCGATGACCAGAAGAATGATCTGACTTGGACTTCTATTTTTATATGGAGAAGTTATAAGGACTTGGGCCATCTAGGTCTGGCCACAGAGGAAAAAGCAATTTCCCTGACCCCTGACCTCTGATCTCTGACCCCCACCCTCCCCAACCACGCGCTGCCTGGTTTGGAGCCGATAATAAAAGACATCAGCAACGTGGCTGTGTCCTTCATGGGCGGCTCGAGGTCGGGCCTTGTGTCCGTTTGTTTGTCGCGCTGCAGTGTTAGCTGGCGTTGTTTTCTGTGTCTCCAGATACTATGGCTCCAGGATCCCCAGGTCCCTTCCATGACCCAGGATGCACTTACGTGGCCCAGGTGCCTTGAGTGCACCCTGGGCTCCGTAGAAGGCCTGAGGGCCAGAACAGCTGTCGCCCGTACTGAGCGGGAGTCCACGCATGTTCCATGCAGATGTGGTTTTGCTGATCTCCTTTTAGAGACAGGGTCTCACCTTGTAGCCCAGGCCGGCCTTGAGCTCATCCTGCGTCAGCCCCCCAAGTCCTGGGATTACAGGCGTGCGCCATCATGCCCACTCAGCTTCGCTTTGCTTTTCAATTTGTGGTTGGTGGAATCCATGGACCCAGAACCCAGGCTTGGGAGGCCCAGCTGTCCCTGCTCACCAGACCCTTGGTCTCTCCGCCTGTCTCGGACTCCTTTTCCTCCCACACAGCGTAGAGGGTAAAATCGCACAGTTGTGAGGACTTGAGGACCCCTCACCCAGACACCCTGACTACAGTGGAGTTCGAGATGCCCTGGGGTCCCTGCAGCCCAGAACCGGTAGCCTCAAGGAGGAAGAGGAAGGTGAGCCCTTTCTCCTCCCACCGCTCTGAGGCTGCCACACCGAGTTAGAAGGGGGGGCTCAATCAAGCCCTGGGGCCACAGCACCCCCAGAACGAAGGGTTTGGCTTGGTGTCATTTTCTTGAGACAGGGTCTCACTGTAATTCAGGCTGGCCTTGAACTCTGTGTAGCTTGGGCTGCCCTCAAACTCCCTTCGATCCTCCTGCCTCAGCCTCCCTCGTGCTGGAATTACAAGCATGTGCCACCGCTCTAGGTTTTTGTTTTATTAGCTTATGTTGGCAGGGTATAATAGTTACACTCTCTCTGAGGAACTGATATGTATATATGTGATCCCTTACCCACCCTAGAAGAACATAGGTTCACAGCAGTACCCTGACATGCCAATAACTTTGTCTGGTTTTAACATTTTATTTAGACATAACTGTAGACTGCCAGGTGTGGTGGTGTAGACCTGTAATCCTAGCACTCAGGAGGCTGAGGCAGGAGTTTGAGGCTAACCTGGGCTACATAAAGTAGTGAGTTCAAGGCCAGCCTGAACTACATAGCGAGACCCTGTCTTAATAAATAAATAAATCTGTAGATTGAGAGGAAGTGGGAGCAGAATGCCCGAGAGAAGAGGCCTGTATACCCTCACTCGGTCTCTTGTGAGAGCGGTATCACCCAGACAGCAGCGTCAGCCTCCTTCATCCAAAGCACCCGTTCCAGTGCTGTAGCATTACACTTGCGGGTGTGTGTGAGGTCAGCAGAGTGACTGAAAGTCTGAGGAGCCAGGCGGGTGTAATCCTAGCACACAGGAGGCTGAGGCAGGACAATCACTGCAAGTGTGAGACCAGCCTGTGTTACATAGTTCAAAGCCAGCGTGGACTGCATAACAAGACTCTGTCTCAGAAATTAAACAAGCAAACCAAAGAAGAGTTTAGCAACATTGTTCCCTGTACTAATGTGGGAAATAGAAAATGTATGTAATAAACTATAGAGATTTTCAGAGGTGGTGCTGAAGATCCCACCTGATTTCTTTCTGCTGTTTAGAACAAAAAGGGATAAGCTAAAGAAATAACTATAAAGGACCTACCTGACGGGTAGTGCTGGGCTGTTCTATTAGGATTACACTAGAAAAAAAGCCAGAATAAGAAAATGCATTCCTAGATAGGAGCAAAAACTAATTACAAAATGAACTATCCCTGAACTCGGGTCCTTACGCTTTCGAGGCAGGTGGCAGAACCACTGAGCTAAATCCCTGGCCCACAAAATGAACTTTTTAAAATGATACCCTTTACAGTGTTACCAAAAACATTTAATATCTTTTTAAAATCTAAGAAATAATTACATCCTCTTTGATCAAAGCCCCTGGAATTTTTAATGCTCCAGTCTGAACTGAGACATAAGTTAATTCACAAATGCATATTAAATAAGTGGAAATCACTATGATAGAAATATTAGTGAGTCCTAACCAAACAGACGCATTGGTAGATGGAGGCCGGGCTTCATAACCGAATTTTCCTTTATGCAGCTGAGGAAGCTGAAGGCCTGGATTCCAACTCTGAGGGTCCTCGAATTATGTTAAGTGTAAACCAGCAAAAGATTGATGCATCAGCTGTCATCAAAACAATACATCCCTCCTGTCAGACAGGCAGGCTCCCTTGCTGGCTGGTAGAGAGTTCCTGTTTGAAATGTTTTACGTTGTGTTTTAAACCAGCCAGTCTTCTGTTATTACTTGGTAAAATCATGAATTTTTTAAAAAGTCAGTTTCTGCTGCTATTCAGCGAGCGCACGCTCCCTCCCCGGAATGACCCGTATGACGAGCACAGGAGTTGCACGCTGGCAGCTGCCTCCCAGAGCCCCTGCTCCCTTCCATTCTGCACAAGTGGTTCTCAGAGCCCCAGGCACCTGAGGAGCTGACGGGACACCCAGGTTCAGAGCCACCACCAGTGAGAGGACATGGGCAGTGAAGGTGTGTGTGAAGCTGGTGCCATGAACGTTCCCTTTCACGGTGCTTCATTCTCCGTTGTGAAGAATAACTGCCGGCCAGGCGTGGTGGTGGACCCTGCACTTGGGGTTGAGGCAGGAGGGTCACAGCAAGGAACTTGGTCGCAATAAGACAGCGCCATGGCCCTTCAGAGTGCATCTTTTATGTACCACATAATCTGTACTCTTACACGGTCACAATCATACCTATCAAACTTAGCAAGAATCTGCTCAGCCGGAAACATTTATTTAGATTTCATAAAGAATTTATAGAGTATGTATAGTGTAATTAGTTGCTTTAAGCAAACCAACTCCTACACTTTCACTACCTAACAGTTAAAGATGATTTCTCGCTTATGTCACAGTCCAGCCGTGGTCTAACCCGGCCGGTGGTAATTATTTCTTGTGGTTATCCCTGGGCCCAGGCTGGCAGAGGCTCTGTCTTCTTGGATATCTAGCTGGTAAGGTCACTGTGGGCCTGAGCATACGGTATCAAGAAGGGGACTTCCACTTAACCCCCGACCGGAAGTGACGTCACTTCCACTTCCGGCCCACCAGCAGTAACCGGTCAAGTGGGGTTGCTTCTGTGCAAGGGATGCTGGGAAGATTGGGGAGTGTGAGGCCTTGGTGCATAGTTTGCCGTCACCTCCGCCATGTGCCCTTCTGGCTAAGAAATGTTCATGAAGACTTTTCCCCAAATACTGTACAGAAAACCTTTGCCAGGCATAAAAGAATACTCACGAAGTTAATGCAAAATTTTATCAAATTACCGCATCCCTAGGACAAAACAGTGAACAGACTGCTAGGCCTGTATCATCAGAGGAAAGCAAGGACAGGATCAGGAGCCCATAAGAAAGCCACAGTGCTTTGTCCCGTGGCCAGACCTGAGCCTTTGTCTGGGCCCAGGCCTGCTGGCAGAAGACTGCATCCCCAGGAGGAACCCTGCCACACCACAGCTCACATGTGAGGACCTGGGTCTCCAAGGTCTGCCCCAAAGAAATCGACTGGTGTCTGGACTCAGGAATACCCTGTCATCGTAGACGTGATACACAGAGACAAATCACCATCGTGGGCCCCATTAGAGTAGGGCAGTACTGGGGCTGTTAGTTAGGACATGGAGACTGCCCCAGGCCCAGGTTACAGCGGGTCTGCGAGTTCCGGTCCAATGGACACTTGGCCTGGGCCCCAAATGCAGAAGGAAGATAGGGATGCTTCGTAGTTGCACAACCTCACATTGGTTCCTGGCCTTAGCGTAAGACTGGAAGTGGAGAAGACCCAGATACACTAAGTGGCCTGACTTACAATTGAGCTCTGTTCTGGGAGAACTGTTTGTAAGTTGGATTTGTTTGTAAGCCAACAAAGTAAGTCTTACACAGTCCACCTGTGAAAGTTCCCAACTGGAATATTCGAAGGTTGGGGACTTACTATACTTGGAAATGAAACTCCTCTATTACCAAGACAGTGAATCCAAGACAGTGTGGCTTCCTGGGGCAAAGAAATTAGTGGCAACTCTGTGTTAATCATCTTCATGTAGCTGGAACAGAATACCTCACACCTATGACCTAAAGAAGGAGAGGTTGGGGCTGGGGATTTAGCTCAGTGCTTCCACCACCTGCCTCCTAAGCGTGACGTCCTGAGTTCGATCTCCGGTACCAAAAACAAACAAGAAGGAGAGGTCTGTTCTGGTTCACATTTTATGGATTCAGTCCATAGGTGGCTGTTTCTAAGGCAGGCGTGGCGTGGTAGGAGGAAATGGCAGAGGAAAGATGCTCAATCCGTGGCAACCAGGAAGCTGGAGAGAAGGGAAGACCAGGGACGAGGTCACACCCGTCCAGCTGGTTACCCAGTGATCCCCTCCAACCAGGCCGACACCCCAGCGGCACATGCAGCTGTGACCTAATCCGCTGATGAGTACAGCACCCCCCATCCAGTCACCTTTCAGGGTCGCCACCTCTGAACACATGAGACTTCCGGAGGACACCCTAGATCCAGATCCTGATTCCACTCCTGACTCCCACATGGCTTCTGTCCACCTTATTATGTAAAATGCACTCGGTCCATCTCTAAGAGTCACTGAAGTCTTAGTTTCAGCAGTGCCAAAAAGCAAGTCAAAAGTCCCCTCTGAGCCTCAGGGCAAACTCTCAGCTGTGAGCCTCTGTGAAAGCCAAGAAAGTAGATACTTCCACCCCACAATGGTGCAGAGTAAACAGCCCCCTTCCGACGGGATTGTCAGGAACTGGACCAGAGCAAGGCCAAGACATGAAGTCCTGAAGCTCAGAGTCTACCACCCTGGGCAGGGGCTGCAGCCAGAGGTGAACTAAATCCCAGAAGAACTAGAACACACAGAGACCCGATGATCTCACCATTTAATTCACAAGTCGGGGCCCTGAAAAAAAACCAGGTGGACTCTGG